GTATGAGTGATGCTTAACACCGAAGCTTGCAATGAGCCGGCCGATCGGGGAAGTGTAGGCTGTGAAGAGCAGGGGACCTAGAACAGAGCCCTGGGGAACCCCACATAATGCTCTTGTTTCAGGCGATGTGGACATGCCCACCCTGACTGAAGATTGCTGGTCAGAAAGGTACGAAGCTATCCACTTGAGTGCTGAACCACATATACCGAAGTCGGAATTCAGGAGGGAAGTAAGGAGCGAATGGTTGATGGTGTCGAAGGCTGACTAAATGTCCAGACTTACAAGTGCAACAGTTGAGCTGGAATCAATGATCGTTAAAATGTCATTGAGCACTCTCGTGAGTGCTGTTTCTGTGGAATAGTTTTGACGGTAAGCTGACTGGAAGTAGCAGTAGTTTGCGGAGGAGGTGACGTGTGGTTGTAGCTGGGCGAGGGCTAGTCGTTCAAGTAGTTTAGAGAGGTTCGAGAGGTTAGTGATGGGACGATAACTAGATGGGTCATCCGGATCTAGATTTGGTTTCTTTAACAAGGGAGAAACCAGGCCAGATTTGAGGTTGGACGGAAAACACCCCGAAGAGAAAGAGGCATTTGCGATGTTCCTGATCATGATGGCGAGTTCCGGAGCACATTGCTTGAACAAGGAACCTGGGAGCACGTCGAGTGGAGATGACTTCAAATGAAGTGATTCAATTAAATCGAAAACGTCTTTTGTAGACACAGGCTTTAGCATAATTAGAAGAGTGTCTGGGTTAGTGCTTACAATTTTAGGTACCATGAGTGGGGTACAATGGTGCAATGTGTCAGTAGACGTGCACGAGTTTGTGACGGCGATTAGCTTGTTGTTGAAGTAAGTATTAAAAGAGGTGGCAAGTTTCAGTAAGGCAAGGGGCCCCGCTGCTCGCTGCTCCTTTGCACCGTTGTCTGTGCGTCGTGCTCTATGCACGCTGGAGGGTGCTCGGGGCTCCCGAGTCAGCACACTCGTGGTCAGCCGTTAGCTGCTGCTGCACTTTTGCAGGTTATTTGCACGTCAGTCTCGATCTGGAGTTGGAGTGCTCTGTGGCCACGCTGCTAAACACATTCCTTGTCTCCGTGATTTTTTATTTTATTTCTATCATTACTTTTATTTCTATTATTACTTTTATTAATTTTAATTTCATTTTTTTACCGACGTGACTTTACCGAAAAAACTAAGAGTATGAATCCTTGCAGTCACGAAAGCTTAAAATCTAGAAACATTCCTTGTCAGCAGCTGCCTGCTTTGCACCAGCACCCTTGGTGTCTCCCCCCTCCCTCGGGGGATCTCACGCTGCTCCTCACTCTCCAAAATCATAGAACAGTCACTTTGACAACATAACTTTTCCAGCCTATAGTTTGGACAACATTTCATGCACACTCAATATTGGTGTCTAACTCAAACCTCCACTTAACTTCTGACATGCCTTAGCTGATCACAGTATTATATGAAAATGCATTCGTACACCTCTAAGCTTCTTACAGTACGACTCTGCCATGCGGAGACAACCTTCTGGAGGATCCAACCAAAACCATCACTTTACCGTACATAGCAGGGGTTACCAAAAAGATTTCCAAAATCTTAAACAAACACAAGATCCAGGTTCGTTTCAACACAGTACACAAAATCCGTGATTTAATCCCATCTGTAAAGGATTTGATTCCTGACATGCAATACCCTGGTGTCTACAAACCGAGCTGTGGTTGTGGCAGCAGTTACAGTGGGGAAACGACATGTCTCGGACCGCGTTCGTGAACACAAGGCAGATCTGAAACACGATAGGACCAATACCTCTGCCGTTGCCGATCATTGTTTTATCGCTGTGGGCTCACACGAAATAGATTTTTCCAAAACGGAGGTACTCTGCAAACCTACCGGCTACCTTCAGAGATTTGTTCATGAAGCCATCCAGATATATAAACACAGAAACAACTTCAACCGAGAGGATGGGTACAAGCTGAGCAATCATTGGAAGGAGGTAATTAAACAAGTTAAGTCTTAACTGACTGTGATGTTTTCATCATACCTGCCTATGTCAGCTGTTATTTCCGACTCTGTATATCTCTCTCTCTATACCTCTCTCTTAGATCTCTCATGCTCACATGTCCTTTGCATTGCACTCTCATGCCTTTGGATTGCACTCTCATGCTCACAGGCCCTTGAGATTGCACCCGTTGGGTTGCACTCCCTCGTCGGGGAGGCCGCTCTCCTATCTTACAGTTACATGCTAATTTCTCACATTAACATCACTAGCCCCGGCCACTTCTTTATGACCCTTGGGCTAAACCCATTTCAAATCTTTTAAAACAGTCTGCTTCAGCAGCAGACCATGCTTTCTCACCTGGTGATGGATGCTTGTGTTGCGCCCGAAACGTCGTGATTTCTTTTATTTTATACCTACATGACTTTACCAAAAGAACCAGAGTATGAGAAACGTAGAATAAAACTTTCAGCGATACTCAAGAGTCTGTCAGCGCAGAACTCAACACTTAGCGACACAGGGCCTTTCACTGCAAAACTCAACCCTTGGCTGACTACGGGTGCCAGTCCCGGAAGTTGCCTATGCAAACTTAACACGTGGCTGGTTATTTGATGCCCCCGGAGTTTGCCGTTGCAAGACTAACTTATATGATGTTCGTATCATGTATTTCTTCCTTAAGACACCAAAAGCCCAAATCTCCTCCCACTATCACGCCCCTTGCATTAATCTGATAAGCCGTTAGTTCCACTTTTGTTCTGGCTGCCCGGACATCCTCATGCCTGATGTTATAACCCTGATCAAACTCCCTCCCCTCCGGAGGTCATCCCACGATTTGAGTGGGTACAGACCCACTTGATTGCCTCGACGTGTGGTGTGTGTGTGTGTCTATAGCCATGCTCATTGTGAAACGGCCTTCCTCCCTCTTTAGGTCGACTCATCCTTAAAATGAATTCCTGCTGCAGCATGCAATGACAGCCACTGGGAAGACAAAGGCGGTCGGGTGTGGCTTGGTTGTATTCCTTGCATTATCAATACGTTTTTCCTGCTTATTTCAGACCGTATGGTGTGATAGTATTTGTTAATCAATATATGCCTAAAGTAATATTAAACCTTTTGACCTGAGCTACATCATCATATAACAGTACATTTTATCATCAAGTTAACGTTCAATACCATGATGTTTGAAAATATTCCTATGAGGTGGTGGTCAATCCAAACTTTTCCAAGCTAAGGCTTGTGAATAATTAACCTTGAAATACGAGTCTCCTTTGACTGAGGGACACTGCCGAAGCAGCACGTGGTGTTCCTTTGGCCTTTGTTGTCTCAAGGGCGGAGTACACAGGCCTCCATGACTGCATTTTTTTTAGAACGCGCTCAATCAGATATGAAAAAAAAGATAACTATTACATTAAAATAGGCAATATCACTCTTAATATAACAATTTTGAAATGGCATATATACAATAGAACCAATAATATTCATATGCGTCAGAAGTGAGGCGCAAAACCACACAGCACAATGAACACTTGGCACAATGAACATGTGGTAACAGTGCAAAGCATAGCGCAACTGTGGTGACAAATGAAAAATGAACTGCACAACTGTGCTGGAAATTGGACAATGAACTGAACGCGACAAATGTCAAGCACGTCTCTGTGGCGAAGAAATTGCCATCAGCTGTTGTAGCCAAAGGCTCGCGTGTGTGCTCGGGTCACGGGTCCCTGGACGTTGAGTTTCTTTGGGCGAGCTGGCGTGGGGGAAGTCACTGCTGAGCCTACAGGTGGAACAGACCCAGGTACATCAAGCAAAGCAGCCAGCGTTTGGGGTCGACGTGTGACACCTCAAGTGTCGTAGGATGGTGGTGATGTGTTATAGGATGCAGGTAGTGGCGATATAATGGACAGAGGCTCAGCAGCGCAGGGCTGAAGGCAAGATGGGTGGACGTGTAATGCGGTTGTAAACGGCCCTTCTGAGGTGCCGTCAGGGGGGGGAGGAGTTAGGTCACGTGGGGGGAGAGGGGTTGAGTATAGAAGGAGGGGAACCGGAAGAGCAGGGGGAGTGACGGGGAGCCAGGAACAGAGGAAGGCCACGTAGGGCGAAGCGGGGTGTGGCGAGATCGCCACGAACACGGGGGAAGCGAGGATCGGCACCGTAGGCCAGCGGTGACCGACCCGAAGCAGCAAGGAGGCTGCAGTCAGCAGCGGGGCTGCACAGAGAGAGTGGGCAGCGGGTCTGCATACAGTGACAGCCAGAGGGTCTGCACATAGGGGTAGCAGCAAGTCTGCAGGGAGGAGGTTACAATAGATGAAGCAGAGAGTCAGAGGGGAGAGGAAGCTATAATAGCAGTGAATAGCCGGGGGCTACAAACACAGGAGTTATAACAGAGTGCCGTGTGGGTAAAGACGTGAACCTGAATAAAGACACGAAGACAGAAAGAAGTGTTCGAGTCCTTTTATTACAGACGTACCACTTACGACGTCCCCACTGAATTAAAGCACATTGTGGGCATAATACTTTAAGGACCTTGACCGGCCCTTACCAGAGCTTATCCAGCTTTGGTGAAGTATGTGGAGAGACCTGGGGGTAGGGAAGCCATGCCGTGTCCCTGGGGTGAAAGGTCGGCACATTAGCCGTGTAGCCCGGCCTTTTTTTATTTTGCAATTGGGAAGGCAATGAGGCTGACATTGGCCATTCGTGCACCTCGTACCAATGTGACAGCATGCTGTGCATGGACTGCGGTCACAAGGACACATGGACAGAAATGTCTGCCAATTTCTCCTTCAAAGGGAGAGTTGGCTCTCAACCGTATAGTCGGGAAAATGGTGAGTCGCCAGTCGACGCATGAGGAGCCAGGCAGTATGCAGAGAGGGCTGCAGGAATATGTAGGTCCCAGTCTGTGTGTGTTGTTGACGACGTGGGACAGCATGAACGGCAGAGTCCTGTTCATCCCCTCTACCATGCCATCTGTTTGCAGGTGATAGAGTGAAGTTCATATCTTTCTGGTGCCCTTGTCAACGACATAGCCATTTAAGAATGCTTCTGCTATGGACTTGGCCATTTGGTCGGGGAGGGCCAAGACCACAGGCTATCTGGTGAGGTGTTCAATCCCGACAAAGATATATGTATTCCCCCTCGAAGTGTGTGGAAACATCCGTAACATGTCAAGAGCAACTATTTTGTTCACACGGGATACATAAATGGACTGTAGCAGAACTTGAGGTTTTCGCGGCAGTAGGTTCGGGCGTGTGCATGGGCGTATATCCGTACTCAGGGCTCCCCAGAAGTAATGCTTCTGGCATGTTTCTGGGGTCTTTTTATATTCTAGGTAGAGCAATTTTTCCCCATGGACATGGTCGAAAAAGTTTTTCGGACAAGAGAAGGCACATTTATCCGGGTTCGCTGTAACTGCGTGTCCCACCACATTAACAGTTTGTCCTGTACAAAGTTGTGGGAAGCCTTTCCCGGTGCTGTAGGCTGGCCTAACATAGTGGGGTGTTTCGGCTAAACACCTGAGGGAGGTGTCCTGGCCTTGCAGGCTAATTCAATCAGCCCTGGTGAATCCTAGATCATGGTCAGTAACAGGCAGGTGGTTCACCCATCGCCATGGTCTGTACTGGTGCAAGAGTATCCACTATCTGTGTATGAAGGGGCCTGCGCGTCGCTGCCCCTTCATGGCTGCACGTAGATTTGTGAGGGGCAAGCGAGATAGAGCATCATCGACATTTAAATGTTTGAGCCCCTTCTGATGTACAATATCATACTGGGAGGAACCCACTGGTTCCACCAGCCCACAGGGGATTATTGTGTCCGTCCGTCATGCAGGGAGGGGCTGGGTGGGGAGGGTGAGGAGGGGCTAGGTGGGGGTGGGAGGGGTGGGACAGGGAGGGGCTGGTCACCCCGTGGTGCCCTTATAAAATTCAACGTTTAACCTACTCACGCCAGCTTGTGCCCGCCCTCACAGTCCGCCATATTTGCGGAATACACCACACCGCCGTTGACCCTGGCCATTGACCAAGCAACCCAACGTTCCTACCAGCTCCCTCCGCAGGAATGTGTTATGTGAACTCCTGTAGTTTTTAAACCCATCTAGCTAATTGGCTTGAAGGCTGGTCGATTCGAAGGGTATAATTCAGGGCGGCGTGTTCTGACCTAAGTGATTTTTTGACATGTAAATAAAGCGTAAATTGTTGAACGAAATGCACCATGGCTAGTAGTTCTTTACGAGTAACACAGTAGCATCATCCTGATGCTAACACGACCCTGCTCCCATATGCGATAACCATCTCATGACCGCCCCGTATTTGGGAGAGGACTGCACCCACCCCAATGTCGCCGGCGTTTTTATCTCAGATAAATGGCAGGGAGAAATCTGGATATGCGAGTGGCGGAGCACCTATACGAGAGAAATTAGGCGAAGGAGTCTTGTTGTTATGGGCCCCATACGAATATCAGATTTTAGCCTGCAATGGCATTTAGTGGTTTAGCAATTGATGCGAATTAAGGTACGAAGTAGTGGTAATTGGAGACAAAGCTTACGAACATGCATACGCTGTGACTGATGTGGGTTTTGGCCAATTGTGTACGCATTCTGTTTTTGGGGGATCAGTGGCAACTCTGTTGGCACTTACAATGTGGCCCAAGTACTTGATGGACGTCTGTATTAAATGGCATTGCCCGTGGTGCTGTGTGTGTGCGCACGCTCGTACGTGTGCGGTCGGCGCTTATGCGGGTGCACGCTGAGTAATTGATCACAGCCTCGTGTGAACTCTGCGAGCGTGTGGAAAGCGCGTGGTGCTGTGTGTGTACGCTCGTACGTGTACGGTTGGCGCTTTCGTGGGTGCACGCTGAGTAATTGGTCACAGCCTCGTGTGAATTCTGTGAGCGTGTGGAAAACGCTTGGTGCTATGTGTGTGTGCGCTCGTAACGTGGGTGGTCGGTGCTTCCGCGGGTGCATGCTCCGTTCGGTAGCCGTGGATACCCGTGCTGCGTGAGGGCTCACACCCACTTCGAACACCTGTCCCACGGCCCTTTAAACGAGTTCTATTACACCCCCGGCGGCCACACGTGCGCGAGTGACGTCATTTGCCCTCCGACCCCTGACCCCTCATTCAGCGCGTGTGATTGGTGCGCGGGATTGTGCGAGCGGAGACGTCGCGTTTGATTGGCTGGGGAAGCAACAGAGTGTTTCCAGGCAGCCGTGCGCCAGCCCCGAGCTATGCCTCACAGGCAGGATCCGCGGACTCGCGGGGGTGCGGCTCAGGGAGGAGAGCCGGCGAGCGGCAGCCCTTCTTCCGCCAGCGAGGACCTGCGCAGCGGCAGCTCTCACGCGAGTGAGCAGTCCGGGGACGGCGGGCCCCCTCTGGCTGGCCCCTTGTCGGGAGGGGACCCGGGGGCCAGCGGCCCTAACAACATTTTATAGGCTTTGGACTTCAAATGTGCATCCCTCACCCTGGTGAAAACCTGTCGCAAGCGGTTCAGATGTTCATCGACTGTCTGACTGAACACTCTGACGTCGTCTAGGTATATCAACCAGTGGAAACCTAACAAATTCCATCAACCTCTGAAAGGTTGTGGGGGCTGTATTTAAGCTTATTAGAAGATCATTGAATTCAAATAGGCCCTGTGGTGTCCGAAAAAGTTTTTTTGGTCTTGACTCGTTCGCTAGTGGCATTTGCCAAAATCTGCAGGACAAGGTGCTGAAAAATATGGGCCCAGAGAAGGTATCCAGAGAGCCATCTATCATTGGGAAAGGATACAGATCCACTAGAGTGATGTTGTTGAGGCACTGGAAGTCAACACAGAATCGGGAGGACCCATTAGATTTTTTCACCAGTACCTCAGGTGATTTTTGTCTAGAGTAATTCCTGCACACTCTTGGATTTGTGCCTTTTCCTTGGGGCTCATCGTGTGGGAATTTAATCGAATCGGAGCGGCATCTCCTGTCTTGATGTGGTGTTTTAGGACAGAGGTCCGTCCAATGTCATAAGTGCACCGGCTAAAAATGTCTAAATACTCATGCAATAATTGGCGAAGGTGGTTAAATTCCTGTCCAGCTACCTCCGCGTTCCACAAGGACATAGTGTCCATCCATCCATCATTGTGTTTGGATTCTGGTTGTTGAACGGCCCCTACTATGGCGGGCCAGTGACTGTGCAGCCCAGTAAGTAAGGGGGCAATGGTTGCAATCAGGGTCCCTGCATGTACCTTAGTGTGCGTCTCAGTGGTATTACGCACCTGTATAAATAGTTGTTGATCCCTCCTAAGTAATGTATCTGCAGCTATCAACGCATGTTGTTCAATGGTTTTGGTGACCGGCATAATGATGAGGTGCGAGTTTGATCGGTTTGCGGCGAGAGGTGTGCGGCAGCGAACTGGAATGAGTGTTTTTACTTAAGGTGGAATGGTTATGTCCTGACTTATGAGAGCATGTAATGCGGCTTTGCTGTCCTTTGGTTCGTTGGTTTTAAGAAAGAGGCAGTATCCGATGGTGTATTTTTATATATAGAGGCAGTATCCGATGTGTATTTTTAGGGGTATTTTCCTTCGAAAATCTGTCCTTAATAGGCAGGGCACCGTGTGCTGGAGACTAATATCGGTCCTGAAAAGGACAGTCCTCCAATGCACAGAGGCCTCCACCTTCCCCAGTATTCCCATAGACCACCCCTTAGCTGCTATGTATTGGGTGTGTACAGGGTGTAGTTTTTGGACTCTGGGTGGCAGTATGTCAAAAACACGTGTGGACATAATGGTCACCGCTGCCCCTGTGTCTACCAGAATCCATACATTGACCCCTCCCACGAAGCCTGTGAACAGTGATGTCCCCGAGGTCCCACCAACCATCTGGCTAACCTGTGCTAGAGTTCTCGACATGGGCTATGGATGATTATGTTCATCATGGGGTATTGGTCCTGGCCGTGTAGGTGATGTTACATTGGTGTCTGGTATGGCTCGTGGGACCCTGTGATTGTGAATGTGTTGGATGTCGCTGGGGGCCCGAGATGCCACAACTCGCCTGGGTTCCATCTGCAGAAGTAGTCGGCCGTGGTTCACGAGAAGAAAACCCAGGTGGAGCAGAATCGGTTTGCCACCTGATGACGATGTAGCCTCCTTGGCCATAGCAGTGGTAGATTACTGGACCCTGGGTCTGGCTTCGGGTCCCCGAGTTCCTTGATGGCCATCTTCATGGGTAATGTGTCGGCTCCCTCTGCGCTGCAGACCAATCTCCAGATGGCAGCAGCCACCACTTCTTCCAGCTTCTGAGGAAAATTGTCCCTATTGTCTCTGGAGCTGCAGCATCGGGTGTTGCCTTGTGCCTTCCAACTCCTGTGGAGATGTTCCCTGTTGTTGTGCTTGTCACCTCCCCAACTTGGGCTAGGATCTGCACTGGGCCCCTTCGGTCTTCATACTCTCGTATATTCTGAGCGACCCATAGAGAAGCACTTGTGATGGACAGGAGGATATCAGTCCTCCTGGTGTAACTAACAAGATGCTCGGCTACCATGTAGTCGATGTTCTTGTCGACTTTTGGGAAGGCTTTCCTGGCGAGCATGAGGATTCCCCAATAAGCCAATGCTGACTTGGAATCGAATTGGCCTTTGAATTGACGCTGAGAGCTTCATCGTTGAGGACGGTGGCAAGTGATTTAAAAGACTCAAATTCCCGCCAGTCCTGAGCGTGATACGCAGATCCGAATCACCTAACAAACTCTATTCAATCACTGTGGGTTGAACTCAGCCGCCCCTGCTCGCAGGCCCGAGAGGCACTGCTGAGGGGTCACAACCTCCACCTGCAATGGGGGTGGCTGCTAGTCCTCCGTGCTCTCCTCCTGATGGGCCCCGGCTTCCAGTGTCTGCAGCGCACCTCCTGGCCAGGACCGTCACAAACGGAGACGTGGCGAGCTTGGTGGGGAGCCGCGCAACTATCCTCAATGAGGGATGCACCTCTCTGGAGACCGCTGGGGCGATGTGTCGAGAAGGCCCCTTCACGTCAGCTATCTCACAAGAATCGTCATCATCTTGGCCAAACAACTGACCCTGTCGTAGATTTGGGGCCATCTTCCTTTGCCCCTCGGTGGTGTTTATTTTCTGGCCAGCCATGTCAGCATCCAGGTCTTCAAGAGTCCTGGTGAGTATCCTCTTGGGCGCATGGAGAGAGCTCAGCTGGTGGGGTTCCCCAGGATTCTGAGTCTCCACCTGCTGCTGTTCCTCCTCTCCCCCGGAGTCTCCTGCTGAACCCACTATGCAGTGTCCTTGAAACATGATCCCATCAAGGCCACCAGATGAAAGGATTTAGCTCACATCATGCTCAGAAAGTGTCGTTTTTAGATGACCCACAGGTAACGTCTCAGGTCTTACAGCAGGTAGTACACCAGGCTTCAGCACTCCGCATCCAGAACTCACCTCTCTTGCTCTCGTCTCTTATACCCTGATCCACATTCCTTGCCAGTCACTGATTGTTCAGGGCTTTGCCTCATATTATGATAAACTGGACAAGCATATTTGAGTTTCATACTTAATCCCTGTCCAGGGCTTTGCCCCAGGTTATGATAACTGGCTCGGTGCCGCCGAGTCTGTAAATAAGGTGAATGCTATGGAACTTTTTTGTGTCACTCTTGGTTACAGATCTTCCCGGACTACACTTCACATGTGCAGGGCCCTCCTATTCTGCTTTTTCCAAAAAGTCGACCCACACCTCCACATCCACAAACTTCTGGGGATCGCCTCCCTCTCCCTTACAGTCCGAATCCTCCTCCTGCTTCACGTTGCCACCATGCACCTGGAGGTTGGGTCCTGAAGTCGAATCTTCATCTTCACATTTCACTTCACTTTTCACCTTTAATATTTCACATTTCACTTTCACTTCTTCACATTCCAGCTTCATTTCTTCACATTCCAGCTTCACTTCTTCACATTTCACCTTCACTTCTGGCCACGATGCAAAGCTGGATTTTTCTTCTGGTTCTTGTTTCACGATAGATAAGCTCATAGCAACACTCTGAATTTCACTTGGTGATTTTACTTTTTTCTCCTTGTGGATCTTCTCATGCTTGTTCCGGACTCCTGACCGTGCAAATGCTTTACCACACACAGTGCACTTGAAGGGTTTTTTTCCTGTATGTATTCTTTGATGATTGCGAAGATGTGAAGACTTTATAAATGTGTCCCCACACACAGAGCACTTGAAGGGCTTCTCGCCTGTGTGTGTTCTCTTGTGAATATGAAGATCTGCTGGCCATGTAAATGCCTTTCCACACACAGTGCATTTGAAGGGCTTTTCACCTGTGTGTGATTTCTGGTGAATACGAAGAGATCCTGACTGGTTAAACGCATTCCCACACACAGTGCACTTGAAGGGCTTTTCGCCTGTGTGTGTTCTCTGGTGAATATTAAGATATCCTGACCGGGTAAATGCCTTCCCACACACAGTACACTTGAAGGGCTTCTCGCCTGTGTGCGTTCTTTGGTGAATAATAAGATTTCCTGAATTTGTGAATGTTTTCACACACACAGTGCACTTGAAGGGCTTCTCACCAGTGTGTGTTCTCTGATGAACATTAAGAGATCCTGCCTCGGAAAATCCATTCCCACACGTGGGGCACTTGAAGGGCCTTTCTCCAGTGTGTGTTCTCTCATGATTCTTCATGTTGCCAATGTGATCCGTGTTGTACAGACACTGCCCACATTGGTGTCTTTTAGCATCAGGTTGTGCCGAGTGTGTCTGATCCATGTGATTGAGTCTGCAGATAGAGGTACACAGTGCACACAATACACACACACACACGCATTACATGCACAGCGCACTGACACACAACATATAGAATCACATTATAAAATATAAATATCCCCCCTAAAGCCTAAACAGACTCTTGGGGCAAGTGCTGGTAGTAGCACCTATGAAGGGAGTAACGAAACAACAGGGGGTAAAAGTTGCCAGCACAACACCCTGCCACTGTTTTCTCCCCAGTGGAAATGTTTACATACTGCACCATTTATTCATTTGAGGCCGAGTCGATCTATGGAAGGCCCAGGACCTGTTCAGATAATCCTCAGTGGTGTTGGACATAAGTGGGAATCGAACTCAGGTTGCCAGGTGTGTAGCTATATTTGTAATTTCCAAAATTCTATTTCAAAATGTGATAGTCTATTTTGAATGTCAGAGTTCCCTGAGGACATATATGTGTGTTCATTGCCTTCCCAAAGTTGAAAAATCACATGGGACAAAAAACAATTAGCAGTCAATTGAGAAGATGGCTTGGGATGACAAGTGGCAAGAACCTGTGAAACTTTTCCTGGTAGCGAATACAGATACTCCCAGAATGGCCTTTACTGAAAAAAACCTAAGAGTATGAATCCTTGCAGTCACGAAAGCTTCAAATCTAGAATAGATACACTGTTGTTTTCAAAGTGCATATGGCAGGAAACCTACCACACTTGGCATCAGAGCTCTTTTAATTAATAACAAGTCTTGGCGTTTGGAGAGTTGAAACCACGCTTCTGCGCTCTTGCACAATGGGGCGATTTTAATCAAGACATAAGACAGGAAGGACAAAATCAAAGGGGTCGCATAATGCACATGCAGAATGTACGTTGCCTCAATAATCCCCCCCCCCCCCATTGTGCAAGAGCGCAGAAGCATGGTCACCACATCTACACCTCTATATAAAGAACGAAACGATAAGACTTCTCCACAAATCTGTCACCTGATGAAGCTACAGTCATACCTCGGTATATGACCGCTTTGTAATACGTCGAATTTGGTATACGTGGTGTTTTGACGATAAAAAAAATGTCTTGGGATACGACGTCTTGCTTGGGATACGACGCGCTTGCTAGAACTTGTATGGGTCGGGATGAGTCACCATGTACAGTACCCGCATACACAATACTGTTACAGCTCTAACAAGCTCTTACAAGCCGTAACAGTATTGTGTGGAATGACCAGACAATGTCACACTTCAGGAACATTCTTAGAAGGCAAAAACAAACTTCAATGGACAGGTTTTTAGTAACACTTAAACCTGGTGAGCCTCAACCAAGTACAAGTCAAGAAAAAGGACAGAAAAGAGAAAGAGAAATAAGTATAACCCGTAAAAACAAAGTTTTTCACTATAAATCCTTTATATGCGTGGCAGCGAACTTAATATAAAGGATTTAAAAATATATTCGCCTGTGGAGGACGCGGGGATCGATCCCGCGACCTTTGGTATGGGAAGCGAGGGCGCTACCAACTGCGCTACTCCGCCACGGCCTGTGGAGGGGTTACGCTCTGGGCTCTTATACTGTGACGTTCAGCCAAAGCCAAGAATGAGTTCTATTTGAATATATGTAAAATAAATTTTTTTTTTGCCTAAAAAGTGTAACATTAATTGTCACGCACAACGAATCTGTGTGGAAAATGTCAGCTCGATTGGATCACGGGAAGTGGGTTAAAAAACGACCGAAAGATTTGCACGGTCGTAAGCAAGCAAGCACGCAAGCACGCAAGCAAGCAAGCAAGCACGCAATCAAGCAAGCAAGCATGCGAACTTAATATAAAGGATTTAAAAACCCCAGAATTTCAGCTTCCTGAAGTCAATGGAAGGGGACTCTCCTTCCAAAAAACATCATCTCCTCCTCCACCCCTTCCTCACCACCATCCTCGTAGGCTATCATCTCCTCTCAAGCAAGGTATTTCAATTTATTTATGCATTTATTTTAATTTATGTATGCATTTTAGTAATAAGTAGTGTCTAAATTATTTTATACAACCCCATTAATGTACAATATGCCATATAAAATATATCTTATACTCTGGAACAGATTATTTCCTCCATTGGAACCTCATTTGCCAGTGAAAATATAATTGGCTTTTTACCCTTCTATCTGGCAACAAAACTCACACCTTTTTACAAGGAGTCATGGTTGCATAGACCACAATACCTGCAGTCATAATGCAAACAAAAAACATAAATCTGATAATGTGCACCGTCCTTGAAGTTGATTGGTCCACACCCGAGACAGCTTTCCTTAGAGCCTAGTTTCACAAAAAGGCGCCTTTTGGCGTCATCTGGTCCAACTCATGTGAGACTAGTGTATACACAGACTACACTCACTGCTATGCAATATTCCTTAAGGACCCCGCACTTGTCTCGTTCACAACGATATTCACGTCGTTGTCGTTGTTTGCCGAGCTCACATACCCAAGGGGCTCTGTAAAGCAGACGGAGAAACGTGAAAGGAATCGAAATCGACCTCGACTCGAAGGCCACTCCGATCGCAACACTCACAGCCTCATCATCATCAGTAGACCTCCACTTTACACTCACAGTCTCATCATCAGTAGACCTCCACTATTACACTCACAGCATCATCATCATCATCAGCAGACCTCCACTATTACACTCACAGCATCATCATCATCATCAGCAGATCTCCACTATTACACTCACAGTCTCATCATCATCAGTATACCTCCACTATTACACTCACAGCATCATCATCATCATCAGTAGACCTCCACTTTACACTCACAGGATCATCATCATCAGTAGACCTCCACTATTACACTCACAGCATCATCATCAGTAGACCTCCACTATTACACTCACAGCATCATCATCATCAGTAGACCTCCACTATTACACTCACAGCATCATCATCATCAGTAGACCTCCACTATTACACGCACAGCATCATCATCATCAGTAGACCTCCACTATTACACTCACAACCTCATCATCATCAGTAGACCTCCACTATTACTCACATCATCAGTAGACCTCCACTATTACTCACAGCATCATCATCATCAGTAGACCTCCACTATTACACTCACAGCATCATCATCAGCAGCAGACTTCCACTATTACACTCACAGCATCATCATCATCAGCAGATCTCCACTATTACACTCACAGTCTCATCATCATCAGTAGACCTCCACTATTACACTCACAGCATCATCAGCATCAGTAGACCTCCACTATTACACTCACAGCATCATCATCATCAGCAGATCTCCACTATTACACTCAGTCTCATCATCAGTAGACCTCCACTATTACATTCACAGCATCATCATCATCAGTAGACCTCCACTATTACACTCACAGCATCATCAGCATCAGTAGACCTCCACTATTACACTCACAACCTCATCATCAGTAGACCTCCACTTTACACTCACAGCCTCATCATCATCAGTAGACCTCCACTATTACACTCACAGACTCATCATCATCAGTAGACCTCCACTATTACACTCACAGCATCATCATCATCAGTAGACCTCCACTATTACACTCACAGCATCATCATCAGCAGCAGACCTCCACTATTACACTCACAGCATCATCATCATCATCAGCAGATCTCCACTATGACACTCACAGTCTCATCATCATCAGTAGACCTCCACTATTACACTCACAGCATCATCAGCATCAGTAGACCTCCACTATTACACTCACAGCATCATCATCATCAGTAGACCTCCACTATTACACTCACAGCATCATCAGCATCAGTAGACCTCCACTATTAAACTCACAACCTTATCATCAGTAGACCTCCACTTTACACTCACAGCCTCATCATCATCAGTAGACCTCCACTATTACACTCACAGACTCATCATCATCAGTAGACCTCCACTATTACACTCACAGCATCATCATCATCAGTAGACCTCCACTATTACACTCACAGCATCATCATCATCAGTAGACCTCCACTATTACACTCACAGACTCATCATCATCAGTAGACCTCCACTATTACACTCACAGCATCATCATCATCAGTAGACCTCCACTATTACACTCACAGCATCATCATCATCAGTAGACCTCCACTATTACACTCACAGCATCATCAGCATCATCATCAGTAGACCTCCACTATTACACTCACATCATCATCATCAGTAGACCTCCACTAATACACTCAGTCTCATCATCATCAGTAGACCTCCACTAATACACTCACATCCTCATCATCCTCATCAGTAGACCTCCACTATTACACTCAGTCTCATCATCATCAGTAGACCTCCACTTTACACTCACAGCCTCATCATCAGTAGACCTCCACTATTACACTCAGTCTCATCATCATCAGTAGACCTCCACTATTACACTCACAGCATCATCATCATCATCATCAGTAGACCTCCACTATTACACTCACAGCATCATCATCATCATCAGCAGATCTCCACTATTACACTCACAGTCTCATCATCATCAGTAGACCTCCACTATTACACTCACAGCATCATCAGCATCAGTAGACCTCCACTATTACACTCACAGCATCATCATCATCATCAGCAGATCTCCACTATTACACTCAGTCTCATCATCATCAGTAGACCTCCACTATTACACTCACAGCATCATCATCATCAGTAGACCTCCACTATTACACTCACAGCATCATCAGCATCAGTAGACCTCCACTTTACACTCACAGCCTCATCCTCATCAGTAGACCTCCACTATTACACTCACAGACTCATCATCATCAGTAGACCTCCACTATTACACTCACAGCATCATCATCATCATCAGTAGACCTCCACTATTACACTCACAGCATCATCATCAGCAGCAGACCTCCACTATTACACTCAGTCTCATCATCATCAGTAGACCTCCACTATTACACTCACAGCATCATCAGCATCAGTAGACCTCCACTATTACACTCACAACCTCATCATCAGTAGACCTCCACTTTACACTCACAGCCTCATCATCATCAGTAGACCTCCACTATTACACTCACAGACTCATCATCATCAGTAGACCTCCACTATTACACTCACAGCATCATCATCATCAGTAGACCTCCACTATTACACTCACAGCATCATCATCATCAGTAGACCTCCACTATTACACTCACAGCATCATCAGCATCAGTAGACCTCCACTATTACACTCACAGCATCATCATCAGTAGACCTCCACTATTACACTCACATCATCATCATCAGTAGACCTCCACTAATACACTCAGTCTCATCATCATCAGTAGACCTCCACTAATACACTCACATCCTCATCATCCTCATCAGTAGACCTCCACTATTACACTCAGTCTCATCATCATCAGTAGACCTCCACTTTACACTCACAGCCTCATCATCAGTAGACCTCCACTATTACACTCAGTCTCATCATCATCAGTAGACCTCCACTATTACACTCACAGCATCATCATCATCAGTAGACCTCCACTATTACACTCACAGCATCATCATCATCATCAGTAGACCTCCACTATTACACTCACAGCATCATCATCATCAGTAGAACTCCATTATTATACTCACAGCCTCACCACTATACTATTGGTTCTTTCGGTAAAGTCACGTAGGTAAAAAAATAAAAGATACAAAAAATAAAAACCACGACGTTTCGATTGCAACACAAACAATCATCATCATCATCAGTAGACCTCCACTATTACACTCACAGCATCATCATCATCAGTAGTAGACCCTCACTAGTATACTCACATCATCATCATCATCAGTAGACCTCCACTATTACACTCACAGCATCATCATCATCAGTAGACCTCCACTATTACACTCACAGCATCATCATCATCAGTAGACCTCCACTATTACACTCACAGCGTCATCATCATCAGTAGACCTCCACTATTACACTCACAGTCTCATCATCATCAGTAGACCTCCACTATTACACTCACAGCATCATCATCATCAGTAGACCTCCACTATCACACTCACAGCATCACCATCATCAGTAGATCTCCACTATTACACTCACAGCATCATCATCATCAGTAGACCTCCACTATTACACTCACAGCATCATCATCATCAGTAGACCTCCACTATTACACTCACAGCATCACCATCATCAGTAGATCTCCACTATCACACTCAGCTCATCATCAGTAGACCTCCACTAGTATACTCACAGCCTCACACTATACTCTTGGTTCTTTCGGTACAGTCCCGTAGGTAAAAAAAATAAAAGATACAAAAAATAAAAACCACGACGTTTCGATTGCAACACAAGCAATCATCATCATCATCAGTAGACCTCCACTATTACACTCACAGCATCATCATCATCATCAGTAGACCCCCACTAGTATACTCACAGCAACACAAGCAATCATCATCAGGCGTGACAACCACAGCAAGAAATTTGACTGAAGTGGGAGATAAGCCAGAGTCAAGGGGTTTATACTGGGCAGGGTTGGTGGGGGGGGGGAAGTGGGTGGGGCTGTTGGTGGGGGGGAAGTGGGTGGGGCTGTTGGTGGGGGGAAGTGGGCGGGGCTTTAGGTGGGGGGGAAGTGGGCGGGGCTATTGGTGGTGGGGGGGGGGGGAAGTGGGCGGGGCTGTTAGTGGGGGGAAGTGGGCGGGGCTGTTGGTGGGGGGGTGATGTGGGCGGGGCTGTTAGTGGGGGGAAGTGGGTGGGGCTGTTGGTGGGGGGAAGTGGGCGGGGCTGTTGGTGGGGGGAAGCGGGCGGGGCTGTTGGTGGTGGGGGGGGGAAGCGGGCGGGGCTGTTGGTGGGGGGAAGTGGGCGGGGCTGTTGGTGGGGGGGAAGTGGGCGGGGCTGTTGGTGGGGGGAAGCGGGCGGGGCTGTTGGTGGGGGGAAGCGGGTGGGGCTGTTGGTGGTGGGGGGGGGAAGCGGGTGGGGCTGTTGGTGGTGGTGGGGGGAAGCGGGTGGGGCTGTTGGTGGGGGGAAGTGGGCGGGGCTGTTGGTGGGGGGAGAAGCGGGTGGGGCTGTTGGTGGGGGGGAAGTGGGCGGGGCTGTTGGTGGGGGGAAGTGGGCGGGGCTGTTGGTGGGGGGAGTGGGCGGGGCTGTTGGTGGGGGGAGTGGGCGGGGCTGTTGGTGGGGGGGAAGTGTGCGGGGCTGTTGGTGGGGGGGATGGTGGCACTCACAACACAATAGTGACGCTGCTGAGCGCTGATGATGTAATTAAGTCGGCAGGATAGACCAGGGATCCGGTAAATAAGATGGAACAAATAAGAACACTCTCATATTCTTAGGTGTTTTCGGTAAAGTCACGTAGGTAAAACATCAAAATTAATGAAAATAAAATAAAACAAAAAATCACGACGTTTTGGAGGCAACACACTACTCCGCGTGACGTCATCGGCGTGAAACGCCCGAGCGGTGTTGTCCTGCGCTGCTGGTGACGTCATGTCACCATGCGGCTGCGCGTGACGTCATCGGCGTGAAACGCCCGAGCGGCGGTGTCCCGCGCTGCTGGTGACGTCATGTCACCATGCGGCTGCGCGTGACGTCATCGGCGTGAGACGTCTGAACGGTGGTGTCCTGCGCTGGTGGTGACGTCATGTCACCATGCGGCTGCGCGTGACGTCATCGGCGTGAGACTCCCGAGTGGTGGTGTCCCGCGCTAGTGGTGACGTCATGTCACCATGCGGCTGCGCGTGACGTCATTTACCTCTGCCAATTTCCTTTCCGGTGTGGCAAATCCTTATTGCTGGTTCTTTCGGTGAAGTCACGTAGATAGAAAATAAAAATATAATTAAATTACAAAATAAAAGGGGAGGGGGGCGGGGTGAGGAGGGATGAAGGGGGCGGAGGGAGGAGGGTTCACCCCACCTATGACGTCATGTATTTCACCCTCTGCGCCGCGTGACGTCACGACACCCGAGTCACTTTGTTCGGTGCTCGCTGTGGACCCAGGCGAGACGCTGCGCCATGTTGCTGCTGTTGCTGTGATGTTTGGTTGTTGTCTACGCAGGTAAAGCTTCGCTTCTTCGTTCTCTCCTAGGGATATCAATTGAGTAGCAGCTACGGATCGATGTCCACGTGCGGCCTAGCCATGCAGGGCTTCGCATTATTTTATTTGCTTTTATTTTCTAAGTTTAAAAAATGTTTTTTCACCTCGCACCGCGTCTCAGTGTCCTCGTCCAGGGGTGCCCTGGCTGAGATGTGTACACACTACACTACTGTACACACTACACTACTGTACACACTACACTACTGTACACACTACACTACTGTACACACTACACTACTACACACTACACTACTGTACACACACGCTACACTACTGTACACACTACACTACTATACACACTACACTACACTACTGTACACACTACACTACTGTACACACTACACTACTATACTGTACACACTACACTACTATACACACTACACTACTGTACACACTACACTACTATACACACTACACTACTGTACACACTACACTACTATACTGTACACACTACACTACTGTACACACTACACTACTGTACACACTACACTACTGTACACATACACTACTATACACACTACACTACTGTACACATACACTACTATACACACTACACTACTATACACACTACACTACTATACACACTACACTACTATATACACTACACTACTATACACACTACACTACCGTACACACTACACTACCGTACACACTACACCACTGTACACTACACGAATGCACACACTACACCACTACACACTGCACTACACACCAACTTACTACTGTGCACACTACAATACTGTACACTATACACTAATGCACACACTGTACTGGCTGTAGTCGTAGATAAACTAACTCTATAGACGTGTCTACTGGCTGTAGTAGTAGCTATACTAACTCTATAATAGTATTATTTGGTTCAAAGAGTATTTTTTGGTTCTTTCGGTAAAGTCAAGTAGATATAAAAATAAAGTGAATAAAAATAAAAAAGAATAAAATAAAAATAGAAAACAAAACCACTCGTGTTAACTGTAGCCTGGTTCTTAATCGGAGTGAGTGAACTGGCAGTCTATAATGTAGACTGTAGCCTGGTTATTAAGTGTGGTGAGTGAACTGGCAGTCTATAAGGTAGACTGTAGCCTGGTTATTAAGTGTGGTGAGTGAACTGGCAGTCTATAATGTAGACTGTAGCCTGCTAATTAAGTGTGGTGAGTGAACTGGCAGTCTCTAATGTAGACTGTAGCCTGGTTATTAAGTGTGGTGAGTGAACTGGCAGTCTATAATGTATACTGTAGCCTGGTTATTAATCGGAGTGAGTGAACTGGCAGTCTATAGCCTGCTAATTAAGTGTGGTGAGTGAACTGGCAGTCTATAATGTAGACTGTAGCCTGGTTATTAAGTGTGGTGAGTGAACTGGCAGTCTATAATGTAGACTGTAGCCTGGTTATTAAGTGTGGCGAATGAACTGGCAGTCTATAATGTAGACTGTAGCCTGGTTATTAAGTGTGGTGAGTTAACTGGCAGTCTATAATGTAGACTGTAGTCTGGTTATTAAGTGTGGTGAGTGAACTGGCAGTCTATAATGTAGACTGTAGCCTGGTTATTAAGTGTGGCGAATGAACTGGCAGTCTATAATGTAGACTGTAGCCTGGTTATTAAGTGTGGTGAGTGAACTGGCAGTCTATAATGTAGACTGTAGTCTGGTTATTAAGTGTGGTGAGTGAACTGGCAGTCTATAATGTAGACTGTAGCCTGGTTATTAAGTGTGGTGAGTGAACTGGCAGTCTATAATGTAGACTGTAGCCTGGTTATTAAGTGTGGTGAGTGAACTGGCAGTCTATAATGTAGACTGTAGCCTGGTTCTTAGCCTGAGGACGGCTGCTTGCGTTGTAGCCGAAACGTCGTGAGAATTATTTTATTATTTTTTTATTTCTTTATTTTATTATTTCCCTTCTACGTGACTTTACCGAAAGAACCAAGAAGATGAATCCCTCCAGTCACGAAAGCTTTGAATCGAAATGTAGCCTGGTTCTTAACTGGAGCCTGTTCTCAGTTTCCAGTCGGCATACACCCAAACTCTGGTCCTGCCTACTCGCGTGATGGGTTGTTTACACTCAGTCCCACCGCTTATATTAAATATGTTCACCCCTTATTCCTTTATAAACCTCATGGTTTGGGTATTTTCTTCGTCAAAGGGCCCAGATCTCGCCGTCGCGGTTATCGAGATGGCAGGAGTCATACTCTCCATGTTACTCCTCATGCTTCATGTGAGATTATCCATCTCCATGCATCCACTATCTCCCATCCTTAATACCACCATCCCCTCGTACTATCATCCACCACCTACCACCGCTTCATCATCAGCCTTGTGAATACCAATCATCTCCCTTAGCCACCCTCGCTCCACCGCTAAATATACTTAAGCTACCTGCTCCAGTCAAATCTTGATTTGAAGCTTTCGTGACTGCAGGAATCCATACTCTTTGGTTCTTTCGGTAAAGTCACGTAGTTAGAAATAATATAAAACAAATCACGATGTTTCGATCGCAACACACGCGGTCGTCATCAGGCAAAGGAGTCAGCCTCTAAAGACAAACCGTTTACAGTATAAGGGTTTGGGGATGGGCGTAGCCCAAGTGTATCCACAACACCAGAAGCACGGGCGGTGCACGAGTGCTAATGCAGCAACAATGCCAATGAAGCAACAATGGCAATGCAGCAACAATGCCAAACGCTGGGGATGCGGGGGGGAAATTAACTGCATTAGCATTGTTGCTGCATTGCTGAACTTTCCCCAACATTTCTTCAGAGATGACATCCTAATGTTCTTCTCCTTTCCTTTTCCCCTGACCTCTCCCATATCTCATTCTGCCTGGTTTCTATCCAACCTTGGATGGCACGTCACTCTCTGTCCCTCAACCCTTCCAAAACTCAAATAATCTTTCCCCGGCCTCATTTTCCCCTCCTCTCTGTCCCACCATTCCCTGCTCCTTTTTCTATTTCCCCTATTTCCTTAGCCAGCAACATTTGTATTATCTTTGACTCTTCCCTCTCCCTTACTGATCACATTTCCACCACTAGCCATGCTTGCCGGTTTCATTTGTTCAACATTCGCAAAATCCGACCACTTATTTCCACCTCTGCTGCAAACTTCTAGTCCATTCCCTTATCCATACCCATCTGGACTATGCTCGGTCTGCCCATTTACTCTTTTGTCCTCCTCCAACAAATCCAAAACAACTCGGCTCAGCTCAAATTCAACCTTCCCTATAATTCCCATACTTCGGCCCTGCTCACGCAACTGCACTGGCTCCCTGTGTACTACCATTACCTGTTCAAATTCCTCACCCTGGTCTCCAAATTCCCTCACGGTCTTGACCCCACTGTATTGTGCCACTATTGCATGTTTCTACGTCGCCTTCTTGCCCTCTATGTTCACAATGTTTGCCGTTTCTGTTCTTCCTACTCCTTGCGGTCAATCATGCTTTTGTTCTATTTCTCTTGTTGCACTCCTTCACTCGAAAAAAATTCCCTTCCACATTGAACAGTCACCTTCGATCACTAATTTCCATTCCGCACTCAAGACGCCCTTAATCTCCACCTCATATCCGCCACAGTTACTTTTCCTTCATTTTCTCATATGGCTCTCACTCATTCCACAATCATTCAATCCATTATTCATTATTTATCGTCAATTTAGCTTTCACCAATTTCACACATCAGAGGTTTGCCTATTGCTTCTTCTCGTCTATTTAAATAACCTCATCTGCAACGTTACATTAATATGTACCATTGTTAATTCTGTGTAAAGTGCCTTGGATAAAGCGCTATATAAATTATTATAAGATAAGATGAGAAAAATAATACAAAACAAGAACAATGGTTCGCTTTAATGTTACTTTAACACTCTATCAAACGAAAAAACCTGCAATCTTATATTTTGAACCATTTCTGAATGACACGCACAAACATGTTCATTGGGCACTTAAAATCGATATTTAAGGGCCTTAAAATGAAAAATCTAAAAGCCACCTATAGACCAAATTTCAGCTTTCTACCTTGACGGGAAGTACCCGAGAGGTTTTTGAGACATACATCCAGATTAAGATCTTTATTTATATAGTAATCGAAATTATAATATATGTTTGTAGAGTGTACCACAAGAGTCAATCTCTTCTCTAACCCATGCCCCACACCCGTTTCTCCCCATCTATCCGGTCAAACAAAAGCTGTTTGGGCATGCGGTGGCTGGGCATGCGGGCCACATGACCCAGCCAAGCGCAGCCTTGCCTGCCAGATCTGCTCACCAATGGGACTTGTTTCCTGATTTTTAGAGGATTTGTGAGCTCTGCACACAATCCGGCTGGGTTAAACCCAGGATGGATAGTAGGCCAATCACACGTCGACTCATTTATCCACTCACTAACCCACATCCTCACCCAACCTCACGCTCACCAACTCATATACTCTCACGAACCCAATCGCTCAGAACCAGGGTAAATGGCCATAAGTAGGCGGAGGGAAAAGGCCCATTTAAGGAGATGCTTTTCAAGACAGACTTAACTATGTCTCACGACTCTGTCTTACTAATCAGGGTGGCTGCTACATTTGACCAGAGTGGTGAACCGAGCTTGCTGTGGTTTGTGACAGCACAGCAGTGGGTTTAGCCTGCTGAACGGCACATGGGCAAAACCTGCCCTGGCACTGGGAGAGGAAGAAGATTGAGCGGTACCTTCCAGTCAGCATGGGTGCCATTATACAAGCAGCGCTCGCCTTCGAGCTCATCATGATGCATTCCTCGAAGTGAGCACCAATTGTATCAGCCCTAAAAGCGGTAATCATACCGCATTGTATACTACATAGGGATGCATTCCTGAAATTACTCATGTACGAGCAATATATGAGGGCTTCATTGGGGGTATCGGTAACAGTGTTCATAATAAGTGATAAACATTTCCGAAATAAATAAATAAATGTATGGAAATATCAGTATGTATTGTACTCATGAGTGCTTTTTACTATGCTGCAAGGCAGTGGTGGGAGACAAGGTTAGAGGAGCTACTGCTGCATTTCCAATCTGGTTTTTTTCTCGGAGAAGAGCTCCAAGAACTCCATGATCTGCTATGTTGAACTTCTTTTGCACCATACGTAGCCTACCGTGCTAATCGGAGGTCTAACTTTCTGTGCAGAGGTGTCTTTTAGGTGGAGCCCTGAGACTCTTATCCTGGTCTCACGAGTTCTCCACCTGGTTAAGTAAATCCATTTGTTTTTCTTCAATGTAATTATGGAGGTGGGGTCTGGTTTGCTCAGAGCCGTGCGTTGCTCTCATAGGCTGAGCGAATGATGGGAACAGCAACGTTTCCTAGACCAGCGCTCCTGCTGTGTGTTCTAACTTGCGAGTAAGCACTTTGTCGATTTTTCTTCATTTTAAAGAAAAAAAATCTGCAGGACAGCGCGATAGGGAATCGGTACTCTACGGGGTTGTGCTAAGCGAGGGCTGCTTGTATGTGCTGTGTAATATGTGTGTATATATTTGCAGAATCGTTCACGTGGAGCAGTGAGATTTGGGGCTGGAATTAAAAGGCATCGATGCTTCCAGTGTCCATACAATACGGATGAGATGGGCAAATTGAAGAAACACCAGAGAACACACACGAAAGAGAAGCCCTTCAAGTGCATGGTGTGTGAGGCGACATTTACACAGGCAGGATCTCTTAACATTCATCAGAGAAGACACACAGGTGAGAAGCCCTTCAAGTGCACTGTGTGTGGGAAGGCATTTTTACTTAATCGAGATTGTCAAATTCACGAGAGAAGACACTCAGGCGAGAGGCCATTCAAGTGCACTGTGTGTGAGAAGACATTTTCATGGTTACAATGTCTTCGTGTTCATGAGCAAATACACTTAAGCAAGAAGCCATTCAAGTGCACTGTGTGTGGCAAGTCATTTGGGCTTCTACGATGTCTTACAGATCATGAGAAAATACACTCCGGCAAGAAGCCCTTCAAGTGCACTGTGTGTGAGAAAGCATTTGGAAATGCAGCACATCTTAAAAGACACCTTATAATGCACTCTGACGAAAAGCCCTACAAGTGCTCTGTGTGTGGGAAGCCATTTTCACGGCCTGAAGCCCGAAGGAGGCATGAAAAGATCCACAATAAGTCGAAGGTGAAATCGAGACGTGGACGTAAAAAAAGAGCCGCATTGAGCCCATCTCGCATGGAACAGGGACCAGAAGACAACCCAATCGTCGCAACGTCGCTAGCAGTGAAGGTGAAACATAAAGAACTGAAGGTGAAACATAAAGAACTGAAGGTGAGACATAAGGAAGTGAAGGTGAAACATAAGGAAGTGAAGGTGAAACATAAAGAAGTGAAGGTGAAACATAAAGAAGTGAAGGTGAAACATAAAGAAGTGAAGGTGAAACATAAAGAAGTGAAGGTGGAATGTGAAGTGAAGGTGAAATGTAAAGAGGTGAAGGTGGAATGTGGAGTGAAGGTGAAATGTGAAGAGGTGAAGGTGAAATGTGAAGAGGTGAAGGTGGAATGTGAAGAGGTGAAGGTGAAATGTGAAGAGGTGAAGATGGAATGTGAAGAGGTGAAGATGGAATGTGAAGAGGTGAAATTGGAATGTGAAGAGGTGAAGGTAGAATATAAAGAAGTGAAGGTCAAATGTGAAGATGAAGGTTCAACTCCAGGACCTGACCTCCAGGTGGATGAAGTCCGCGTGAAGCAGGAGAAGGATTCAGACTCTGAGAGAGAACGAGGCCACCACAGGGAATTTGTGGATGTGGAGGTGTGGGTGGATTTTGGGGGAGTGGTGTAACAACGGCCGAGTTTGATTCCCGCTCACGGCTAACACCGGTGACGATTATTTGAACCGGTCCTGGGCCTCCCCTAGGTCAACTCGGTCACAAATGAGTACCTGGTACAATGTGTAAACATCGCCACTGGGAAGACAAAGGTAGTTGGGCACGATGCTGGTCACCCATCTGTCACGTTACCTATCCACGGAGGGCTGATGGTTGGGGTGTATTGCCGTCGAGCTGGTGTTAGACCACTCAGAGACTTGGCTGTTAGGGATGTGTATATATAGGCCTTTTTCCAAAATTCATATCAAGAATAATTCGGCCAATATATATTTTTAATAAATAATTTAACTCCGCTACCCCTAACAAGCACCCAGCATTTGGAGGTCGTAAAATGCCATTAAATAATAAACTCAGGGCAGAGGAAGGTTAGCGACTATCTGGAAATTTCCAGATTGACAAAGGGCATATGACCCCGACCTTCCCAAACGTTTTGGACAGTTCATAAACAAATATGCAGAGCCAGGAAAAAAACACAGAGCAGAGACAAACAAACAACATTACAACTCGCATCTTCTTTAACGATAAAAATTTGAAACTCGGCAAAAAGAACAAATCCACGTTATAGGCTGGCAGTCTATCAGTGGTTTTATCATTGTTACTTATTTTATTTCACCCTTATTCAACTCATATAATTTTGTATGGTATCTTTCTATCTATGTAACTTCACCAAATGAACCAAATACACGAGCCCCTGCCATCAAGAAAACTTAAGTCCAAACTAATGCTATTCTTCCAGCATCAAAATATAACTCAAAATAAAACACCAATCCATGGAGACAGACTTATAACCAAGCTTGGCAGAACCCTCAAAATAATGACGTAATGAAGAGCATTACGAATATTGATTAAACATGAACCGAATAATCACGATATATTAAAACCGGGTGTAACTCATAAGAGATACAAGGAATAAATCCAACACAAGACCACATAATATGTATTCCATGGAACCAAAGCCTCCCTGGCCACCTTTGTCTTCCAACAATTCGACAAACACATGTCAGCCATAAATAAGTATGAAGGGTGTCTGGCCTCGAGATAACACTAAGAAGGGGGGGAAACGCAAACAAGCATAAACTTGATGGAAAACCGCTCTCTCGGGGTCACCAAAGGAAGAGGGGGGGGGGCAATCAGGCGTGGCCACGGGGGAAGAGCAGAACAGAGTAAGCATGTGTTTTTTTTCCTCGCAAGAGACGCAGGGAAGGGAGAGAATTCAGATGTAAAGAGAGACACAGCCATACATCAAAACACCACCAACACAGAAGAAGCTTGCCAGCAGAAGAAGAATCCAGCAGACGAAGACTCTGCAATCAACCAGGATGGCGAGGCCCGCTGAGTAGCGATGTGCTACCAGTGCGACTTCGGCGCTGACCGAGACCGAAGAGGTATCGCTCGAAAGCCACTCTGCCCTGAGTGCCCACTCCACCGAGCCACTGCAGTGCGAGTGGAGCTGACGAGAATTTCAGCAATCATCCTCGAGAAAGGGCGGAAAGCGCCAAACATGGACCAAGCCAGCATCATAGAGAACCAGCTCCATCAGACATTTGTGCCTGCCACCAGCGAACGAGAGCATTGTTCATCGTTAGAGAACCCGCAGCCAGAAAAGGGCGCACAGCCGTGCCGCCAGTGCCACCGAGCACAGGTGTCCGCTTGCCAGCGGACGAGCCACACGAGCGACTTAGCATCTTCAAGGACAAGCATCGTGCCGACGCAGCTCATCTAGCAGCAGAGAGAGAGAGCCGGCGGCTAACTGCAGACACGCCCGTGCGAGAGAGCAAAAGGGAGCCACAAGCTGTTTGTATGCCCCTCCCCCACCCTCACAAGCTCACGACACTGCACCCGGCAGAGGTCGCAAACGGGTTTTGATTCCTTACCCGTACCCGGCCGCACCAGGGTCGCAAATGGGTACCTGTACCCGGCCAGGTACAGGTTCCCGTTCCCTACGCGTACCCGTACCCTACTCGAAATGAGTGACAAACGGTTACTCACCAGTGACTCACGGCCTACCCGTACCCAGCCGCACCAGGGTCGCAAACGACTACCCGTACCCGGCCGGGTATCGGGTAGGGTACGGGTATCCGGTTGCGACCTCTGGCGCCCGGCCTCTGCTTAAAAAAGAATGTATCAAGGGGACAATACACACACACATGAACCATTAACTGGTCGTGAAGGCATCGATGCTCATCGAGTGATATGAACACGGTCGTTATAAGTACATTAGTCGTTATATTATATATTTTTTAATCGCGTAAAATTACCAATGGATTCATCGATGCAAACTAAACTTTTGAAACCTTCGTTAAGAATCTACACGCTCACAGGGAGAATATTGTGTTAACTTTCTTTTGAACACCGAATCTTGCCCACTAATTAATTGAAGCTTAGTCAAGAGATAAGCATATCGCGTAAGCAGGACACACCGTCGCACACCATTGTCTCAAGACGTTTCGTTAATTATATAATCTTGCCGATGAATCTATTGACGTATACTTTTGCCTTCGTGATGTAATAATTTGCTTTTTATTGCCTTTCGTATGAATATCGTCGCTTGCATGTTTTAAGGACTTTCCCTATCGCTGTATTTGCTCCCGTTACTCGGTGGAATTAATCCATTTTTCGGTTGCCCAGTTAACACAATCATTGATGGTTACATGTACTGATCAGTGAGGGGTGATTCTCCGGTGGTACCGTGGATAATTCCAAGCATGAGAGTTCGCATATTAGAGTCATGTTTTTGTTTAGAATAAAAATTTATTAAAGAGTCTGAGTGCTTCCTTCCTGAGTTCATGCGTAATAATCTTATTTTTAAGAACTGTATCCTGTGTTGAGATTTGAATTCAAGACCTGACATAAACACTCAGACATAATCAGTAAATGTTTAAGCAAGAATAATTGCATTTTCCCGATTGATAACACGACCCTAGACAACGAAGCTAAGCATAATTATCATAACTGCCCACATTAGCATAATCACATACATTGGCACAAAGTAAGAGGATTATCTCCACAATTAGCATAATACATGTGCATAATTACATAAATTAGCATGATTTCGTTATAATTCTTAGTAGTGCAATCTTCCTTTACTTTGTCTAAAATTTTCTAGACCCGACATACAACATATGTTAGCTTTTATTTACACCTTCCACCCCCAAGCAGAGGAGTTATATCCTGGTAGCAGGCTACCACAAAGCAAATCAAATGAATAAGAATAAATCTTGACTTAAAGCTTTAGTGACTGCAGGAATTCATATTCTTGGGTCTTTTGGTAAAGTCACGTAGATAGGTTCAAAGAAAATAATCAAAAATAACAGAAAAATACGACGTTTCGATCGCAATGCAGGCGGTCGTCTTCAGGAAAGGGGGGAGGTTCGCTTCCAAGAAAAACTGTTTATAAGGGTTTGAAATGGGCATAGCCCAAATGTCAGCAGCCAATGATAATGTTCGGCAGGGAGCCCGGCCGTGGTTCGTTTTCTCCAATCAAAGGGCTGCCAGGTGAAAATTATGTAAAAAAGAGATTAGCATGTTTGATGGGAGATCGCAGAGCCGCAACCAAGGGGTCAGCGCGCGAAGTGACTGAAAGCGCAAGTTTGAAATGGGTGTATAGCACAACTAACATTGGAAGGTGGTCGGATGGGAACATCATAGCCAATTATGACTTAAACTGGATGTTAACGTCCTTCCAATGATTGCTCAGTTTGTACCCATCTTCTCGGTTGAAATTGTGTCTACGTCTATATATATGGATGGCTTCATGAACAAATCTTTGTTGATAGCCAGTGGGCTTGCAAAGTACCTTCGTCTTAGAGAAATCAATTTCATGTGAGCCCACCGCATTAAAACAATGATCAGCCACGGCTGAGTTATTGGTCCTTCCGTGTTTCAGATCTGCCTTATCTTCACGAACACGGTCTGAGACATGTCGCTTAGTTTCCCCAATGTAACTCTTGCCGCAGACACAGCTTAGTTTGTCTACGCCGGAATAAGTTTGTAGATGCCTGAATACGAATAAGCATAAAACAACCCACACACATCCAATCACACCTAGTGTTCCTAACGCCTTCCCTAGACTCACACAAGTTTTTTTTTTGGGGGGGGGGGGGTCAAACACCTCCCCTACTCTCCCACACACAACTCTGCTTTACAGATGGCCCCGTGTTCCTCCTCAGGTATTTCCACCCCTTGCCTGCCAACCCCTCGCAGTGGGCAACTCGTGCCTCGAGCTTATCCCCTCTTCGAGCAGTGGGAGATGTCCGCAGCCACCCAGGGAACCAGATGGCAAGTCTCCACGCTTGGCCAGTGCCAGGCTGCAGCCGGCTTGGTTCCCCGCTCCTGCCGCTCCTGTCATGCCTTGCTCTGTCCCAGAAATCCCAACTGCCCTAGTTCAATCCCCAGGTCAGCCGCTGGAAACATAACAATAATAATACTACTGTCACCTAACGTTTCCCTATAAAATATATTCCGTGGAGTGGGAGACAGCCCTCAACTGCTACTTACAGTGAAGATCCCCGGTCCTCACTTGTTTAATAAAAGGACTCAGACGCTTCTTTCTGACTTCGTGTCCTTTATTGGGTTCTTGTCTTCTCCCACACGGCACTCTGTTATAACACTGTATTTGTAGCCCCCGGCTGTTATCGCTATTATAGCTTCCTTTCTCTCCCCGCAGACTCTCTGCTTCATCTACCGTAACCTCCGTTCTCTCCCTGCAGACTCGCTGCTGACTCCCTATGCAGACTCCCGCTGCCACCCCTATATGCAGACCCTCTTGGCTGCTACTCTGTATGCAGACCCGCTGCTGACTCTGTATGCAGCCCCGCTGCTGACTGCAGCCTCCTCGCTGCTTCGGGTCGGTCACCGCTGGCCAACGGTGCCGATCCTCGCTCCCCCGTGTTCGTGGCGATCTCGCCACCCTCCGCTTCGCCCTTCGTGGCCTCTCTCGTTCCTGGTCCCCCGTCACTCCCCTCTCCTCTTCCGGTTCCCCTTCCTCTATAGCTTAACCCCTCTCCCCCCACGTGACCTAACTCCTCCCCTAATGACGTCACCTCCGGAGGGCCGTTTACGCCCGCATTACACTTGCATTGCTGCTTGAGGGTGGGAGCTCGCCCAGCCACTACTGGGGGTGGTTGTGGAGAAATGCAGCCACCACCACCGCTGCTACTGCTGCTGCTTCTGGATTGAGATCCGCCCAAAACCCCGCCACTGCCGATTTGGGTGCTCCTTTTATAGTGCTGCTCTCAGCCCATTTTTTAGCCCCTGGGCCAATCACATGAGAGGTCCGACTATAAATGGTCTGACATTCCCTCCCTCTGGTTGGCCTGTTCCACTAAAACCTGTCCCCACGTCGGTCGACCACACTGGTGGCTCCTGGCTCCACACAAAGGACTGCGCCCAAAAACATCATCCCCTTGTATACCGTGCCGGCCTTCTTAGGTACTCAATAACAACAATTGTCCCAAAAGTGTTAAGACTATAAGGGGAATATTTGTCTTTGGAGTTGTTGGACAATGCAGAGTAGGAGAGTGCTGCATATTTGAAGTGGAGTCTGGGAAGATTTGGAACCATAGTAGTTGCTGTATTCACAGGCTTCTCTCACTACAAGAGTCAAAAAAGCTGTATGCACCATCCAGCCTGAAACGGAGCTTTCAGCAAATCTAATGCTATTGCCGTACAGTCTTTAGTATCCATTTTACAAATAGTAGGGATGCCTTTTTTTTGTGTATAATTTAGCATTGTAATTGTTCGGTTATGTATTTCGTGATTGTGGTTCTATTGTAATGGTTGCTCATTGCTTTAAACTTGCAGCCAGGTATGGTTCTGCCATTCTGTTTACTCCGCAGTTTGTAAAATGTTTTTTGAATGTTTACTTTTCATAATTTAGGGTTTCATCTACTTTAAATAAAAAAAATTCATGTTAAAATGTAACATCGGGCCTACCTATACAGGCTTTTTCCAATGATCTTGACTGCCTTTTTTCACATTTAACTTCTTTCCCATTCATTACTTTGTTTAGTTTATATAATTGTATAGGTGTATGTTTATGACACCGGGTATTTGTGAAAACCAACTGTACATTCCTCGTCTATTCCTCCCCAGCGTCATCACTGTTACCCTGCCCATCTCCATAGTCATCCTCCATCAACTTATTCTTGTAATCTTCACCTCCGTTTCCTTTCACGCATCATCATCATTTATAACATTCACCGCACCATTCCAGCTCGTCCTATGCCACAGTGTTTTTGTACTACCGATAATTCACGTCTGAGCCGCCACCAAAGTCAGTCCATGAACAATTCTGTTCTTCGTAGCCCCCAAATCGAGCGGCTTCCTCAAGCGGAGGGAAACTAACATCTGCGTGCCGGGAGGGATTCTCACCGTTCGGCGCGCGAGCGCCTGCACCGTAGCGTTGGCCGTCCACAAACGGGTGGGGGGAAGGCAAAAATGCCATACGACAGCCAGATGGCAATTCCAAACAGCCACGGTCAATGCGGATTTTCAAAGGCATCCTTCCAAGGAAATCGGTTCCAAGTAAACATGGAACAGTCAGGGACATGGAGACAAGAATATGTCTCGACAATTTAACATGAGCAATGCGCACCTCGGCCATTATCCAACCAATAATACCCAATGAGCCGCCGTTATCAGCGAAACACGGTTCATCAACAGGGTCTGCAACCTGACACTTCGGGGGCAAAATATTGTACATTAATTCCGAGATGATAGTTGCCGACGCACCCGTGTCGACTAGCATCCTTATTTCCACACCCTCAATAAATCCAAGCACGGCAGGTGAACCCGCGGCCGCAGCCACCACTCGATGGGCCAGCTCCGACCACTGATCCGGTCGGAGCGGACGAAACTCACGATTACGCATAGAACCCTCCCGTACCGACGCGCAATCGGTACGCGAACCGAAACGCCTAGATGGGTGAGGTGAAGCCAGGGGTCGATTGTTGAGTGTGTCGTGACTCGCCTTAGGGTGTAGGGAAGCGTAGGATGGTGGCGAAGCTGGGGGGCGCCATCGTGGTACACGGCAGCCCGATGACACGTGCCCCGGCAGGCTGCAATTGTAACACGTAACATGGCCGCCTCCGGATGACGACCTTGGCCGCCGCTGCTCGTTCGTCCGTCACGCCCCACCGTCACGCCGGTCGCCTCCACCCCGAGTTCACGCGCATGCCGACACGGTGGCCCCGGCTCCGTGCGGGACGTGGCACACGTCACCTGCGCCTTGTCCCGTTGCAGAAGTTGCTGAGGTTGGATGCACTTAGCGATCTTGAGAGACGAGATGTCATCATCTTCGGCTGGAAGAATGGTGTGGAGGACTTTCGCCAAGGCCAGCAGTCTCTCGAGGACCAACGCGTCGATACCGTTGTGGTCCATTTTCGGGAAGGCGGCTTTCGCTAGCGCCAAAAGTGCGCTACGGAAGGTGAGGGCCAACTCGGTTTCCCCCTTCCATCACGTAGCGATCTTGTGGCGTGTATTCGCCGGAGGCTCGTAGATTGACGCCATCTGGTTGAAAGCCTGAGTAAGGGTGGACCTCTCCAGTGGCGGAATGGTGATAAACGCCACAAGGGCGTCATCATCAAGGGCGGCAGGCAACGCCCGCAGCGCCTCCGTCCATCCCGCCAAGTTGGCGTTCTTGAGGAACCGCCGCTTGAAGGCCACCCAGTCGCCACTGGTGGCCGCAAACTCTTTAATAAAAGGAAACCGACGGCGGAGAGCCGGGATGTCCATCAGCGCCGACAGCGCGTCTTCAAGTTTGGCGGGCTGTGCGCTCTGCGCCAGCGACAAAATGGCGGCCGAATACATGGGCCGCGCCGCTGAATTTCCTGCCTGCTGCGAAATGGTGGCGGAGTCGTCATCCACGAGCGGCATCGCCGTTCTCTCCTTCACCAGAGAGACCGTGGGACTGATCTCCGTGAGGAGCGAAGCCGCAGCCTGGAGGAGCTCCGCGAGGTGACCGTCCGCCTCCCGAACGGTCGCCTCTGCCGACGGCGGAGCGTCGAGCGCCCAGATGGCGCTCTGCTCCGCTGGCAGCATCTCCCCCGCATCCTCCGGAGCTGTAGGCGGCACGAGGTCCTCAGGGCCGGCTCCGCCCTCAGCCCCACCCACCTTCGCGAGCATTCTAGCTCCCTCTCGGCTAAAAATGTCTAAATACTCATGCAATAATTGGCGAAGGTGGTTAAATTCCTGTCCAGCTACCTCCGCGTTCCACAAGGACATAGTGTCCATCCAACCATCATTGTGTTTGGATTCTGGTTGTTGAACGGCCCCTACTATGGCGGGCCAGTGACTGTGCAGCCCAGTAAGTAGGGGGGCAATGGTTGCAATCAGGGTCCCTGCATGTACCTTAGTGTGCGTCTCAGTGGTATTACGCACCTGTATAAATAGTTGTTGATCCCTCCTAAGTAATGTATCTGCAGCTATCAACGCATGTTGTTCAATGGTTTTGGTGACCGGCATAATGATGAGGTGCGAGTCTGATCGGTTTGCGGCGAGAGGTGTGCGGCAGCGAACTGGAATGAGTGTTTTTACTTAAGGTGGAATGGTTATGTCCTGACTTATGAGAGCATGTAATGCGGCTTTGCTGTCCTTTGGTTCGTTGGTTTTAAGAAAGAGGCAGTATCCGATGGTGTATTTTTATATATAGAGGCAGTATCCGATGTGTATTTTTAGGGGTATTTTCCTTCGAAAATCTGTCCTTAATAGGCAGGGCACCGTGTGCTGGAGACTAATATCGGTCCTGAAAAGGACAGTCCTCCAATGCACAGAGGCCTCCACCTTCCCCAGTATTCCCATAGACCACCCCTTAGCTGCTATGTATTGGGTGTGTACAGGGTGTAGTTTTTGGACTCTGGGTGGCAGTATGTCAAAAACACGCGTGGACATAATGGTCACCGCTGCCCCTGTGTCTACCAGAATCCATACATTGACCCCTCCCACGAAGCCTGTGAACAGTGATGTCCCCGAGGTCACACCAACCATCTGGCTAACCTGTGCTAGAGTTCTCGACATGGGCTATGGATGATTATGTTCATCATGGGGTATTGGTCCTGGCCGTGTAGGTGATGTTACATTGGTGTCTGGTATGGCTCGTGGGACCCTGTGATTGTGAATGTGTTGGATGTCGCTGGGGGCCCGAGATGCCACAACTCGCCTGGGTTCCATCTGCAGAAGTAGTCGGCCGTGGTTCACGAGAAGAAAACCCAGGTGGAGCAGAATCGGTTTGCCACCTGATGACGATGTAGCCTCCTTGGCCATAGCAGTGGTAGATTACTGGACCCTGGGTCTGGCTTCGGGTCCCCGAGTTTCTTGATGGCCATCTTCATGGGTAATGTGTCGGCTCCCTCTGCGCTGCAGACCAATCTCCAGATGGCAGCAGCCACCACTTCTTCCAGCTTCTGAGGAAAATTGTCCCTATTGTCTCTGGAGCTGCAGCATCGGGTGTTGCCTTGTGCCTTCCAACTCCTGTGGAGATGTTCCCTGTTGTTGTGCTTGTCACCTCCCCAACTTGGGCTAGGATCTGCACTGGGCCCCTTCGGTCTTCATACTCTCGGATATTCTGAGCGACCCATAGAGAAGCACTTGTGATGGACAGGAGGATATCAGTCCTCCTGGTGTAACTAACAAGATGCTCGGCTACCATGTAGTCGATGTTCTTGTCGACTTTTGGGAAGGCTTTCCTGGCGAGCATGAGGATTCCCCAATAAGCCAATGCTGACTTGGAATCGAATTGGCCTTTGAATTGGCCTTTGAATTGACGCTGAGAGCTTCATCGTTGAGGACGGTGGCAAGTGATTTAAAAGACTCAAATTCCCGCCAGTCCTGAGCGTGATACGCAGATCCGAATCACCTAACAAACTCTATTCAATCACTGTGGGTTGAACTCAGCCGCCCCTGCTCGCAGGCCCGAGAGGCACTGCTGAGGGGTCACAACCTCCACCTGCAATGGGGGTGGCTGCTAGTCCTCCGTGCTCTCCTCCTGATGGGCCCCGGCTTCCAGTGTCTGCAGCGCACCTCCTGGCCAGGACCGTCACAAACGGAGACGTGGCGAGCTTGGTGGGGAGCCGCGCAACTATCCTCAATGAGGGATGCACCTCTCTGGAGACCGCTGGGGCGATGTGTCGAGAAGGCCCCTTCACGTCAGCTATCGCACTCCGCATCCAGAACTCACCTATCTTGCTCTCGTCTCTTATACCCTGATCCACATTCCTTGCCAGTCACTGATTGTTCAGGGCTTTGCCTCATATTATGATAAACTGGACAAGCATATTTGAGTTTCATACTTAATCCCTGTCCAGGGCTTTGCCCCAGGTTATGATAACTGGCTCGGTGCCGCCGAGTCTGTAAATAAGGTGAATGCTATGGAACTTTTTTGTGTCACTCTTGGTTACAGATCTTCCCGGACTACACTTCACATGTGCAGGGCCCTCCTATTCTGCTTTTTCCAAAAAGTCGACCCACACCTCCACATCCACAAACTTCTGGGGATCGCCTCCCTCTCCCTTACAGTCCGAATCCTCCTCCTGCTTCACGTTGCCACCATGCACCTGGAGGTTGGGTCCTGAAGTCGAATCTTCATCTTCACATTTCACTTCACTTTTCACCTTTAATATTTCACATTTCACTTTCACTTCTTCACATTCCAGCTTCATTTCTTCACATTCCAGCTTCACTTCTTCACATTTCACCTTCACTTCTGGCCACGATGCAAAGCTGGATTTTTCTTCTGGTTCTTGTTTCACGATAGATAAGCTCATAGCAACACTCTGAATTTCACTTGGTGATTTTACTTTTTTCTCCTTGTGGATCTTCTCATGCTTGTTCCGGACTCCTGACCGTGCAAATGCTTTACCACACACAGTGCACTTGAAGGGTTTTTTTCCTGTATGTATTCTTTGATGATTGCGAAGATGTGAAGACTTTATAAATGTGTCCCCACACACAGAGCACTTGAAGGGCTTCTCGCCTGTGTGTGTTCTCTTGTGAATATGAAGATCTGCTGGCCATGTAAATGCCTTTCCACACACAGTGCATTTGAAGGGCTTTTCACCTGTGTGTGATTTCTGGTGAATACGAAGAGATCCTGACTGGTTAAACGCATTCCCACACACAGTGCACTTGAAGGGCTTTTCGCCTGTGTGTGTTCTCTGGTGAATATTAAGATATCCTGACCGGGTAAATGCCTTCCCACACACAGTACACTTGAAGGGCTTCTCGCCTGTGTGCGTTCTTTGGTGAATAATAAGATTTCCTGAATTTGTGAATGTTTTCACACACACAGTGCACTTGAAGGGCTTCTCACCAGTGTGTGTTCTCTGATGAACATTAAGAGATCCTGCCTCGGAAAATCCATTCCCACACGTGGGGCACTTGAAGGGCCTTTCTCCAGTGTGTGTTCTCTCATGATTCTTCATGTTGCCAATGTGATCCGTGTTGTACAGACACTGCCCACATTGGTGTCTTTTAGCATCAGGTTGTGCCGAGTGTGTCTGATCCATGTGATTGAGTCTGCAGATAGAGGTACACAGTGCACACAATACACACACACACACGCATTACATGCACAGCGCACTGACACACAACATATATAATCACATTATAAAATATAAATATCCCCCCTAAAGCCTAAACAGACTCTTGGGGCAAGTGCTGGTAGTAGCACCTATGAAGGGAGTAACGAAACAACAGGGGGTAAAAGTTGCCAGCACAACACCCTGCCACTGTTTTCTCCCCAGTGGAAATGTTTACATACTGCACCATTTATTCATTTGAGGCCGAGTCGATCTATGGAAGGCCCAGGACCTGTTCAGATAATCCTCAGTGGTGTTGGACATAAGTGGGAATCGAACTCAGGTTGCCAGGTGTGTAGCTATATTTGTAATTTCCAATATTCTATTTCAAAATGTGATAGTCTATTTTGAATGTCAGAGTTCCCTGAGGACATATATGTGTGTTCATTGCCTTCCCAAAGTTGAAAAATCACATGGGACAAAAACAATTAGCAGTCAATTGAGAAGATGGCTTGGGATGACAAGTGGCAAGAACCTGTGAAACTTTTCCTGGTAGCGAATACAGATACTCCCAGAATGGCCTTTACTGAAAAAAACCTAAGAGTATGAATCCTTGCAGTCACGAAAGCTTCAAATCTAGAATAGATACACTGTTGTTTTCAAAGTGCATATGGCAGGAAACCTACCACACTTGGCATCAGAGCTCTTTTAATTAATAACAAGTCTTGGCGTTTGGAGAGTTGAAACCACGCTTCTGCGCTCTTGCACAATGGGGCGATTTTAATCAAGACATAAGACAGGAAGGACAAAATCAAAGGGGTCGCATAATGCACATGCAGAATGTACGTTGCCTCAATAATCCCCCCCCCCCCATTGTGCAAGAGCGCAGAAGCATGGTCACCACATCTACACCTCTATATAAAGAACGAAACGATAAGACTTCTCCACAAATCTGTCACCTGATGAAGCTACAGTCATACCTCGGTATATGACCGCTTTGTAATACGTCGAATTTGGTATACGTGGTGTTTTGACGATAAAAAAAATGTCTTGGGATACGACGTCTTGCTTGGGATACGACGCGCTTGCTAGAACTTGTATGGGTCGGGATGAGTCACCATGTACAGTACCCGCGTACACAATACTGTTACAGCTCTAACAAGCTCTTACAAGCCGTAACAGTATTGTGTGGAATGACCAGACAATGTCACACTTCAGGAACATTCTTAGAAGGCAAAAACAAACTTCAATGGACAGGTTTTTAGTAACACTTAAACCTGGTGAGCCTCAACCAAGTACAAGTCAAGAAAAAGGACAGAAAAGAGAAATAAGTATAACCCGTAAAAACAAAGTTTTTCACTATAAATCCTTTATATGCGTGGCAGCGAACTTAATATAAAGGATTTAAAAATATATTCGCCTGTGGAGGACGCGGGGATCGATCCCGCGACCTTTGGTATGGGAAGCGAGGGCGCTACCAACTGCGCTACTCCGCCACGGCCTGTGGAGGGGTTACGTTCTGGGCTCTTATACTGTGACGTTCAGCCAAAACCAAGAATGCGTTCTATTTGAATATATGTAAAATAATTTTTTTTTTTGCCTAAAAAGTGTAACATTAATTGTCACGCACAACGAATCTGTGTGGAAAATGTCAGCTCGATTGGATCACGGGAAGTGGGTTAAAAAACGACCGAAAGATTTGCACGGTCGTAAGCAAGCAAGCACGCAAGCAAGCAAGCAAGCACGCAATCAAGCAAGCAAGCATGCAAACTTAATATAAAGGATTTAAAAACCCCAGAATTTCAGCTTCCTGAAGTCAATGGAAGGGGACTCTCCTTCCAAAAAACATCATCTCCTCCTCCACCCCTTCCTCACCACCATCCTCGTAGGCTATCATCTCCTCTCAAGCAAGGTATTTCAATTTATTTATGCATTTATTTTAATTTATGTATGCATTTTAGTAATAAGTAGTGTCTAAATTATTTTATACAACCCCATTAATGTACAATATGCCATATAAAATATATCTTATACTCTGGAACAGATTATTTCCTCCATTGGAACCTCATTTGCCAGTGAAAATATAATTGGCTTTTTACCCTTCTATCTGGCAACAAAACTCACACCTTTTTACAAGGAGTCATGGTTGTGAAGTACTCTTGAAGACGCGTGGACAACGTGGTAAGGCACACGTATTTATTTGCACAATGTCTTACAGCACTGGAGGGATGTATCGGCCCCCTCACCCGTAACACTGGGAATTCACCCCTAGCTAGCCTTCCTAGCCGAGTCCTCCGCTAACGGGCTAGGGGAGGCTGTCTGGCCCGACACTGGTCAGTCGGGCTACGGTACCCGGAATCCCAGAGGTCTACCCCTGGTTCCGGGACCACGCCACTGGCTCCAGCCTGTGCTGCCCTTACAAGGGCGGCGTCCCAGGGGGAGTCCAGGGCCTATCTGGCCGGTCTTCTGTCTTCCCTTAACTACACTAAGACTGAGCCCCGAGCTCTCTGGCTCATCCCTTTTTATACCCCCCTAGAGGATCGAAACCCCCCTCACGCCGTCCAGTGCGGACGTCGTTGCGGGCACCACCCCGTGTGCTCACGGAGTCCCCGCCCACTGTGTTTGTTATCCGTTAGCCCCTATGCAAACAGCCCTACACAAACAGCCCCTCTGTAACAGCCCTACATCACCCCCCCCTGTACAGCTCGCAGCCGTCCCGGCTGCAACAACTTTAATAAAGGTTATTTAACTCCTGGATCCCCGCGTGTGCCTTAAGAAAACGTTTTTAACGCTAACATGAAGGAACCAACAGCAACAACGACAACAACAACAACAATGACAACAACAAAACCCACAACCCCGAAGGGAACAATCCGACGCACCCCCCCTGAATAAATACGAATACCGTAAGAGCGACGCATATATACAGGTTAAGCAGGGAACTCGCAGCACACATGCAACACAACAAAAAAATGTGGTAGGAGCTCCCCACCGACGCAGCACCACGCAACCGTACGTAAGAGAGAAGAAGAAGAGAAAAAAAATGTTCGTCCAATGCATTATAAGAGTCTGCGCATTTTTGCGCGTGTCCTTGCTGCAGGCCCGTCACACGGGGCAATCCCGGGTGGCGAACCCGCCGGTGGCGGTTGTTCGTTTTGTATAGAGTCCGCGTCTGACGTCGCGGGAACCTCGGCGTCCCTTGCAGCAGTAGGTGGGTGCGAGCTCGTCAGTCCCGGTGCACCTGTGGGCGGGACAGCCGGCGACACGTCAGGCGAGGGCAGTGAGGACGGATCCCCTGAGTCGGCCGACCCCCCACATGTTCGGCCATGCGTGTGTGGAGTGGGGCCTCGCACCGCAACGAATGGTTTTAGCCTCGAGGGGTGCACAAACCACCGGCGCTTCCCCCATTTGATGCGGACACACTGAGGCCGCAGAACCTCGACCACCTCCACGGGCCCCCTCCACGGCCGCGCCAGTTTAGGGGATGTTGCGAGCGGTACCTGGGGGCAGTGCAGCCATGCTCTGTCCCCCGGCTTCCACTGCAGCACGTGCGCGCGACCCAGTCTGAGGCGCTCGTTAGCTTTTTGACGCTGTTCCGAATTTAACATGGCAGCATCCCGTGCCTCCGCCAATTTTTCAAGGTTAAATTTGACATGGTCAATTAATTTAGTTTTTCCTAGTGGTGTGGGGATCTGCAGCTGCGCCCGAATGGGTGGGTCAGGGTCGCGCCCATACATGAGGAAGAATGGCGAAAATCCCGTTGCAGCATGGGGGGCCAATCTGTATGCTGCCAAGACCCCTTGGATTTTCAAGTCCCAATCCGTCTGTGAGTCCGAAACCTGCTGTGATAACATAGACGAGATGGTACGATGCAAACGCTCGACCATCCCGTCAGTTTGCGGGTGATAGGGGGAAGTACGAACCTTTTTCGTTCCTAGGAGCTCACAAACCTGTTGGAGGAGTTTTCCGGAAAAATTTCTACCCTGGTCGGTCAGCAGCCGTTCCGGGGCACCTTTGTCCATGACATAGCCTTGGACAAAGGCGTCGACGATGGCTGCTGCCGACTGATTGGCCAGGGGCCAGGCCATAGGCCAGCGCGTAAAATACTCGACCCCGGTTAACAAGTATCTGTTTCCCCTAGGGGTGGCGGGGAATGGGCCCAGAATATCCAGCGCGACAAGTTCGTTTACTCTGGAGACCCTGATAGACTGCAAGGGCGGGTTAGATTCTCGCGCTGGTGGTTTCCGCTGTGCACACCTCGGGCATGAAGCCAACAGATCAGGGACATCCCTTGTCATTCCTTGCCAAAAGAAATCACGCTGGAGCAAGGCGAGGGTCTTTTGGGTACCCAGGTGGAGGAGGCGCTCATGAGCAGCCCACACCACCCTACCCCGTAAGCCCGAAGGGACCACCAGCCGGTGTCGGTGGGATTTCCCGTCCCAGTGCAACAGCAACCCCGCGTGCATTTCCCATGCGTCGGCATCACCCGATCCCCGCCCTGCCTCCCCGGCGCGACGACGCAACGCGAGGAGGGAGGTATCCTCCATCTGGAGGCGCCCCCATTCCTGGATGTGCAAACCCAACAGGGAATCTTTCCCTTGTTGTTCAATGGAACTCAGAACAACTGTCCCACCGTCGGCGGTGGCCGCAAGGCCCGGAACCGACACGTCCCCTGCTGGTTTGCAACGTCCCGACCCCAGGAGGCACGCGCATTCCGGGGTGGTTGGCATGCGCGACAGAGCGTCCGCGTTGGTGTGGCGAACGCCCTTACGGTATGTGGTATCAAACTCAAAATCCTGGAGGATCTCCAACCATCGGGACAATTGTCCCGATGGTTGTTGAACTCGCAGGGCGTACTGCAGTGCCGCATGATCTGTGCGGACGGTGAAACGCCGACCGTACAGATATGGGCGATATTGTTGGACGAAATAAACAATTGCCAACAGTTCTCTGCGGGTAACACAATATCTTTGCTCTGCTTGAGACAACACCCGACTGCCGTACGCAACCACCCGTTCGACGCCGTCAACCACCTGGGAAAGCACGCCCCCAATACCCGTGTTGCTCGCATCGGTGTCGAGCAGGAACGGCTTTGAAAAATCAGGGTAGATCAGGGGAGGAGCTTTAACCAAGGCGTCCCGAAGGGAGCAAAAAGCAGCCTCCTCCTCTTGGCCCCAGTGGAACCGAACCCCCTTTGATGTTAATGCATGTAGGGGTTTGGCAATTGTCGCAAAGTCGGCGACGAACCGTCTGTAATATGACGCGAAGCCGACGAAACTCCTGACCTCTCCCCCTGTGGTGGGAGTCGGCCAGGAGCTGACACACTGCGTTTTGGCGGGATCGGTAGCAATACCCGAGCGCCCTACGATGTGGCCCAAATAACGCACGGAATCGCGTAATAAATGACACTTTTGGGGCTTGAACTTCAAATTAGCAGCCCGCATCTTTAGGAAAACCGCCCGCAACCTCTGGAGATGTTCGTCAAAAGTTTTAGCGAAGACAATAACATCATCCAAATAAATCAGGCACGACTCCCATTGCAATCCAGCCAAAACCAATTCCATCAAACGTTGGAAGGTTGCCGGCGCTGAGTGTAAGCCCATCGGCAACCGGTTGAATTGGAACAGGCCGTGCGGTGTACGGAAAGCAGTTTTAGGTTTCGATTCATCATCCAGAGGAAGCTGCCAGAATCCCGAAAGTAAATCCAGCGTGGAGAAGAATCGCGCTCCTGCCAAGGCGTCCAGCGATTCGTCCATCCGTGGGAGCGGGTATGCGTCGGCAACCGAGATTTTGTTAAGGCGCCGAAAATCAACGCAAAACCGCAACGAGCCGTCCTGCTTCTTAACCAGGACGATCGGCGCTCCCCAAGGGCTGGTAGAGGGAGAAATAATGTCGGCGGCTAACATGTCATCCACAGCCAATTTGACATGGTCCTTTTCGGCGGGACTCAACCGAAACGGATTTTGGCGAATTGGCGCGCTGTCACCCGTGTCAATATGGTGACGCAGCAGATGAGTGCAACCCAAATCGTATTTATTCCGACTAAAAACGTCGGAAAATTCCTGCAGTAGCGATCTAAGCTGTTGGCGCTCTGAATTCGACAGGTTCGTCGATCCCGCACAAAGCGCGTCGAGCCACCCGTCATCGCTGTCCGAATGTGGGTGCAGTCGGGTGGCGGTGCCGACCTGATTCGCAACCGGTTCCTCGCAGGGCATCGGCGTCGCGTGCGCAAGCACCGTCCCTCGAGGAACCACAACAGGTTGCGATCCCACATTGAGGACCGCGATGAAAGGATCCCCATCTCCCCTCACAACGGTCAGGGCCGGACGCAAATGCGGCCCACTAACCCCGGCCCTAGACGGTCCCAACAGTATTCCCTGGGCCCCGATACCCTCCGCGAAGGGCCGACGAAGTTTTAGGGGTACCAACATCTGAGCCCCCGGCGGCACACGAACGGTTTCGACGACGGACGCAGGTATAGTTACGCACGCCGTCCGAATCACAGAAGGGGAGGGTAAAAATGCCATGCGCCGTCCCGACGGGAGCTCAATGCATCCCTGGTCTATTAAAATACGGATCGGCATTCTACCCAAGAAGTCCGTCCCCAGCAGGCACGGAACCGCCAGCGAGGAGGAAACAAAAATCGGGCCTGATAATTTGATATCCCCGATACAAATTTGCGCTCGAATTTGCCCAATAATACCCAGGGAGCCCCCATTCGCCGCGTAGAATGGGACATCAACTGGTAGCAAGGGACGGCTTTTGACAGGCAAAATGTTGTAAATCAAATCGGAAATAATGGTCGCCGATGCCCCCGTGTCAACCAGGATGCGTACCTCGACCCCGTCAATAAGTCCCACGACGGCCGACGACCCTGACGATGCGGCCACAACGCGATGGGCCAACGCGGACCACTGCCCGGGCTCGATTCGAGTCCCCACAGTGGTACGCGCCGGCCCGTCGCGCTGCGACGTCGTCCCCCCATTCGTTACGATGCGAGAGTGTGCGACAGGTGTGTGTGTTGGCCGAACATGTGTGGTGTCGCGACTCGCCGGATCATGTTGATGAAGCTTGGGAGGAGGAGGAGGCCCGGCGTCCTGGCGAGGCGTCGTCCCACGCTGTCGAGGAGAGCGGCACCCCGAGGCGACATGGCCCCGGACGCCGCAGTTGAAGCAGCGCGGAAGCGGCGGCGGCGATGACTGGCGGTCGAAGCGGCTCGACCCATCCCGGGCCGGCCGCGCTCCCGTCCCCTGCTGCCGACGATGGTTGACGGCGAAGACCTCCTCCGCCGGAAGGGTGGCTGCCGCCACCGCATGCCCAGCCGCTGCCCTGCTGGCCTTCCTCCGCTGCGACAGCAAGTTTGCGTGGAGGAGTCGCGCCGCTTGTAGAGAAGTCATCTCAGAATCCTCCTGTGCCACGACGGCGATGTCCAGGTCGTCTGCTAGCAGGAGGATTTTCTCAGTTACCATGGCGTCGACCCCGTCCTCGTCCATGCGAGGAAAGGCTGTCTTGGCCAATGCCAGGAGGCTTGTTCTGTAAGCCAGCGGCGACTCCTTCGCGCCCCGCTGGCGATCGTAGAACTGCTGCCTACACTCCGCGGAAGGCCCGTAGACTCCGGCCAGCAGCTGCAGCGCCATCGGCAGCGTAGAGCGCCTTTCCTTCGGCGCCGATGTTAGGGCGGCCAGCGCGTCGCCGTCGAGGAGCGCCGGCAGGGCGCTGAGAGCTTCAGCGTCTGTCCATTTGGCCATTTCTTGGTGGGCGAGGAAGCGTCTTTGAAAGCCGCCCCAGTCGCCCTCTGCGCCCACGAATTCTTTAAGCGGGGGCAGCCTTTGGTGCAGCGCAGCGGTTGCCGTGGAGTCCCGTGGGCTGCTGTCTCCCCGACTCGGCTGTGTCTCGGCGCGAACGGCAGATGGTATCGCCTGTCGCAGCCTTGATGACGCGCCCTCCTCCGTCGTTGATGCGGCAGCCCCAGCACGGCCGATGTCGGACCCCAGGTTGAGGTTGGCCACGCCCCTAGCGGTCGCCGCGTCGATGGCGGGAAATTCAAAATTTGAATCTTCCGAAATGGCGGGAAGGCGCTCCGGACGCCGGCTCCCCTCGACCCGCGGTGGACCACCAGCCCCCAGCCGTGTGATGTTTTCCAGCGTAGCGGCAGCGGCGTAGAGCAGTTCAGCCAGTCTCTCGTGAGCCAGCCTCAGCTCGTCTGTCCGCGGCTCCTCTTCCTGCCGACGTTCCGGTAAGAACGCGTCCGGCCCCGGCTGCACGTTGTCCTGTTGAGCCATCTCGGGCTCGACAATTTCGGCGGCGTCTTCCATTTGCTGTACTCTGGCTCGAGCTGATTGGCGCGTGTCCATCGGTGGTTCTTCTGACGCCAGATGAAGTACTCTTGAAGACGCGTGGACAACGTGGTAAGGCACACGTATTTATTTGCACAATGTCTTACAGCACTGGAGGGATGTATCGGCCCCCTCACCCGTAACACTGGGAATTCACCCCTAGCTAGCCTTCCTAGCCGAGTCCTCCGCTAACGGGCTAGGGGAGGCTGTCTGGCCCGACACTGGTCAGTCGGGCTACGGTACCCGGAATCCCAGAGGTCTACCCCTGGTTCCGGGACCACGCCACTGGCTCCAGCCTGTGCTGCCCTTACAAGGGCGGCGTCCCAGGGGGAGTCCAGGGCCTATCTGGCCGGTCTTCTGTCTTCCCTTAACTACACTAAGACTGAGCCCCGAGCTCTCTGGCTCATCCCTTTTTATACCCCCCTAGAGGATCGAAACCCCCCTCACGCCGTCCAGTGCGGACGTCGTTGCGGGCACCACCCCGTGTGCTCACGGAGTCCCCGCCCACTGTGTTTGTTATCCGTTAGCCCCTATGCAAACAGCCCTACACAAACAGCCCCTCTGTAACAGCCCTACAGTTGCATAGACCACAATACCTGCAGTCATAATGCAAACAAAAAACATAACTCTGATAATGTGCACAGTCCTTGAAGTTGATTGGTCCACACCCGAGACAGCTTTCCTTAGAGCCTAGTTTCACAAAAAGGCGCCTTTTGGCGTCATCTGGTCCAACTCATGTGAGACTAGTGTATACACAGACTACACTCACTGCTATGCAATATTCCTTAAGGACCCCGCACTTGTCTCGTTCACAACGATATTCACGTCGTTGTCGTTGTTTGCCGAGCTCACATACCCAAGGGGCTCTGTAAAGCAGACGGAGAAACGTGAAAGGAATCGAAATCGACCTCGACTCGAAGGCCACTCCGATCGCAACACTCACAGCCTCATCATCATCAGTAGACCTCCACTTTACACTCACAGTCTCATCATCAGTAGACCTCCACTATTACACTCACAGCATCATCATCATCATCAGCAGACCTCCACTATTACACTCACAGCATCATTATCATCATCAGCAGATCTCCACTATTACACTCACAGTCTCATCATCATCAGTATACCTCCACTATTACACTCACAGCATCATCATCATCAGTAGACCTCCACTATTACACTCACAGCATCATCATCATCATCAGTAGACCTCCACTATTACACTCACAGCATCATCAGCATCAGTAGACCTCCACTATTAAACTCACAACCTCATCATCAGTAGACCTCCACTTTACACTCACAGCCTCATCATCATCAGTAGACCTCCACTATTACACTCACAGCATCATCATCATCAGTAGACCTCCACTATTACACTCACAGCATCATCATCATCATCATCAGTAGACCTCCACTATTACACTCACAGCATCATCATCATCAGTAGACCTCCACTATTACACGCACAGCATCATCATCATCAGTAGACCTCCACTATTACACTCACAACCTCATCATCATCAGTAGACCTCCACTATTACTCACATCATCATCATCAGTAGATCTCCACTATTACACTCACAGCATCATCATCATCAGTAGACCTCCACTATTACACTCACAGCATCATCATCAGCAGCAGACTTCCACTATTACACTCACAGCATCATCATCATCAGCAGATCTCCACTATTACACTCACAGTCTCATCATCATCAGTAGACCTCCACTATTACACTCACAGCATCATCAGCATCAGTAGACCTCCACTATTACACTCACAGCATCATCATCATCAGCAGATCTCCACTATTACACTCAGTCTCATCATCAGTAGACCTCCACTATTACATTCACAGCATCATCATCATCAGTAGACCTCCACTATTACACTCACAGCATCATCAGCATCAGTAGACCTCCACTATTACACTCACAACCTCATCATCAGTAGACCTCCACTTTACACTCACAGCCTCATCATCATCAGTAGACCTCCACTATTACACTCACAGACTCATCATCATCAGTAGACCTCCACTATTACACTCACAGCATCATCATCAGTAGACCTCCACTATTACACTCACAGCATCATCATCAGCAGCAGACCTCCACTATTACACTCACAGCATCATCATCATCATCAGCAGATCTCCACTATGACACTCACAGTCTCATCATCATCAGTAGACCTCCACTATTACACTCACAGCATCATCAGCATCAGTAGACCTCCACTATTACACTCACAGCATCATCATCATCAGTAGACCTCCACTATTACACTCACAGCATCATCAGCATCAGTAGACCTCCACTATTAAACTCACAACCTCATCATCAGTAGACCTCCACTTTACACTCACAGCCTCATCATCATCAGTAGACCTCCACTATTACACTCACAGACTCATCATCATCAGTAGACCTCCACTATTACACTCACAGCATCATCATCATCAGTAGACCTCCACTATTACACTCACAGCATCATCATCATCAGTAGACCTCCACTATTACACTCACAGACTCATCATCATCAGTAGACCTCCACTATTACACTCACAACCTCATCATCAGTAGACCTCCACTTTACACTCACAGCCTCATCCTCATCAGTAGACCTCCACTATTACACTCACAGACTCATCATCATCAGTAGACCTCCACTATTACACTCACAGCATCATCATCATCATCAGTAGACCTCCACTATTACACTCACAGCATCATCATCAGCAGCAGACCTCCACTATTACACTCACAGCATCATCATCATCAGCAGATCTCCACTATTACACTCAGTCTCATCATCATCAGTAGACCTCCACTATTACACTCACAGCATCATCATCATCATTAGACCTCCACTATTACACTCACAGCATCATCAGCATCAGTAGACCTCCACTATTACACTCACAACCTCATCATCAGTAGACCTCCACTTTACACTCACAGCCTCATCATCATCAGTAGACCTCCACTATTACACTCACAGCATCATCATCATCAGTAGACCTCCACTATTACACTCACAGCATCATCATCATCAGTAGACCTCCACTATTACACTCACAGCATCATCAGCATCAGTAGACCTCCACTATTACACTCACAGCATCATCATCAGTAGACCTCCACTATTACACTCACATCATCATCATCAGTAGACCTCCACTAATACACTCAGTCTCATCATCATCAGTAGACCTCCACTAATACACTCAGTCTCATCATCATCAGTAGACCTCCACTAATACACTCAGTCTCATCATCATCAGTAGACCTCCACTAATACACTCACATCCTCATCATCCTCATCAGTAGACCTCCACTATTACACTCAGTCTCATCATCATCAGTAGACCTCCACTTTACACTCACAGCCTCATCATCAGTAGACCTCCACTATTACACTCAGTCTCATCATCATCAGTAGACCTCCACTATTACACTCACAGCATCATCATCATCATCAGTAGACCTCCACTATTACACTCACAGCATCATCATCATCATCAGTAGACCTCCACTATTACACTCACAGCATCATCATCATCATCAGTAGAACTCCATTATTATACTCACAGCCTCACCACTATACTATTGGTTCTTTCGGTAAAGTCACGTAGGTAAAGAAAATAAAAGATACAAAAAATAAAAACCACGACGTTTCGATTGCAACACAAACAATCATAATCATCATCAGTAGACCTCCACTATTACACTCACAGCATCATCATCATCAGTAGTAGACCCCCACTAGTATACTCACATCATCATCATCAGTAGACCTCCACTATTACACTCACAGCGTCATCATCATCAGTAGACCTCCACTATTACACTCACAGTCTCATCATCATCAGTAGACCTCCACTATTACACTCACAGCATCATCATCAGTAGACCTCCACTATCACACTCACAGCATCACCATCATCAGTAGATCTCCACTATTACACTCACAGCATCATCATCATCAGTAGACCTCCACTATTACACTCACAGCATCATCATCATCAGTAGACCTCCACTATTACACTCACAGCATCACCATCATCAGTAGATCTCCACTATCACACTCAGCTCATCATCAGTAGACCTCCACTAGTATACTCACAGCCTCACACTATACTCTTGGTTCTTTCGGTACAGTCCCGTAGGTAAAGAAAATAAAAGATACAAAAAATAAAAACCACGACGTTTCGATTGCAACACAAGCAATCATCATCATCATCAGTAGACCTCCACTATTACACTCACAGCATCATCATCATCATCAGTAGACCCCCACTAGTATACTCACAGCAACACAAGCAATCATCATCAGGCGTGACAACCACAGCAAGAAATTTGACTGAAGTGGGAGATAAGCCAGAGTCAAGGGGTTTATACTGGGCAGGGTTGGTGGGGGGGGGGAAGTGGGTGGGGCTGTTGGTGGGGGGGAAGTGGGTGGGGCTGTTGGTGGGGGGAAGTGGGCGGGGCTTTAGGTGGGGGGGAAGTGGGCGGGGCTATTGGTGGTGGGGGGGGGGGAAGTGGGCGGGGCTGTTAGTGGGGGGAAGTGGGCGGGGCTGTTGGTGGGGGGGTGATGTGGGCGGGGCTGTTAGTGGGGGGAAGTGGGTGGGGCTGTTGGTGGGGGGAAGTGGGCGGGGCTGTTGGTGGGGGGAAGCGGGCGGGGCTGTTGGTGGTGGGGGGGGGAAGCGGGCGGGGCTGTTGGTGGGGGGAAGTGGGCGGGGCTGTTGGTGGGGGGGAAGTGGGCGGGGCTGTTGGTGGGGGGAAGCGGGCGGGGCTGTTGGTGGGGGGAAGCGGGTGGGGCTGTTGGTGGTGGGGGGGGGAAGCGGGTGGGGCTGTTGGTGGTGGTGGGGGGAAGCGGGTGGGGCTGTTGGTGGGGGGAAGTGGGCGGGGCTGTTGGTGGGGGGAGAAGCGGGTGGGGCTGTTGGTGGGGGGGAAGTGGGCGGGGCTGTTGGTGGGGGGAAGTGGGCGGGGCTGTTGGTGGGGGGAGTGGGCGGGGCTGTTGGTGGGGGGAGTGGGCGGGGCTGTTGGTGGGGGGGAAGTGTGCGGGGCTGTTGGTGGGGGGGATGGTGGCACTCACAACACAATAGTGACGCTGCTGAGCGCTGATGATGTAATTAAGTCGGCAGGATAGACCAGGGATCCGGTAAATAAGATGGAACAAATAAGAACACTCTCATATTCTTAGGTGTTTTCGGTAAAGTCACGTAGGTAAAACATCAAAATTAATGAAAATAAAATAAAACAAAAAATCACGACGTTTTGGAGGCAACACACTACTCCGCGTGACGTCATCGGCGTGAAACGCCCGAGCGGTGTTGTCCTGCGCTGCTGGTGACGTCATGTCACCATGCGGCTGCGCGTGACGTCATCGGCGTGAAACGCCCGAGCGGCGGTGTCCCGCGCTGCTGGTGACGTCATGTCACCATGCGGCTGCGCGTGACGTCATCGGCGTGAGACGTCTGAACGGTGGTGTCCTGCGCTGGTGGTGACGTCATGTCACCATGCGGCTGCGCGTGACGTCATCGGCGTGAGACTCCCGAGTGGTGGTGTCCCGCGCTAGTGGTGACGTCATGTCACCATGCGGCTGCGCGTGACGTCATTTACCTCTGCCAATTTCCTTTCCGGTGTGGCAAATCCTTATTGCTGGTTCTTTCGGTGAAGTCACGTAGATAGAAAATAAAAATATAATTAAATTACAAAATAAAAGGGGAGGGGGGCGGGGTGAGGAGGGATGAAGGGGGCGGAGGGAGGAGGGTTCACCCCACCTATGACGTCATGTATTTCACCCTCTGCGCCGCGTGACGTCACGACACCCGAGTCACTTTGTTCGGTGCTCGCTGTGGACCCAGGCGAGACGCTGCGCCATGTTGCTGCTGTTGCTGTGATTCATCTTCTTGGTTCTTTCGGTAAAGTCACGTAGAAGGGAAGTAATAAAATAATAAAAATAAAACATAATAAAACAATTCTCACGACGTTTCGGCCACAACGCAAGCAGCCGTCCTCAGGTGAAAACCAGGTCCGTCGAGGCGACAGAGTCTGAATGAAACAGCACACGGGCTTAGAGCATATATATAAGCTGGGCGCATTGACAAAGGAATTTGCATATCAACAGGAATTTAGCATATTTATGGGAAATGCAGGAATGTAATTAGTACTGCATATGCATGTGCATTATGCAGGATTAACAGCATCAAAGGGAGCTGCAGTTACTGCTGCTGCAGCAGTTGCTGCTGCTGCAGTTTCTGCTGCTGCTGCAGTTGCTGCTGCAGTTGCTGCTGCTGCTGCACTTGCTGCTGCTGCACTTGCTGCTGCTGTTGCACTTGCTGCTGCTGCTGCAGTTGCTGCCTTATCCATTTTAATATAACACTATGTATTATTCTACCCACCCTAATGTGTATCATACTGCTATATGTTTACTGTACAATTACGACACCATACATTACTCTGCACACTGCACCATGCCAGTGAGTGGAACGCGGTCTGAAAGTCACCGTTAACGTGAACACAATCAGTTAAGATCCGAAATGGTTTATTACGTCCTTCCAATGATTGCTAAGCCAGAATCCATCTTCTCGGTTGAAATTGTCTCTGTGTTTGTATATGTGGATCGCCTCATGAACGAATCTCTCATGATAGCCAGATGGCTTGCAGAGAACCTCTGTCTTGGAGAAGTCAATGTCATGTGAGCCCACTGAATTGTAACAGTGATCTGCCACGGCTGAGGTGTTTGTCCTACCGTGTTTCAGGTCTGCCTTATGTTCACGGATGCGGTCCGAGACATGTCGTTTGGTTTCTCCAATGTAACTGCTACCACAGAGGCAACTTAGTTTGTAGACGCCAGGGTACTGTATGTCTGGAACCACATCTTTTACAGACGGGACCAGATCACGGATTTTATGTACTGTGTTGAATCGGACCTGGATCTTGTGTTTAATCAGGATTTTGGAGATCTTTTTTGTGACCCCAGCAATGTAGGGTAAGGTGATGGTCTTGAAAGGCTCCTCAACAGGATCCTTCTTGATGGTTGGAGTGATGGCTTTGCGGATTGTGTAGTCGGAGTAACCATTAGCCTTAAGAGCTTGGCGTACGTGTTTGAGTTCACTGGAAATGTGTTCATGGTCGGAGATGCATTGGGCTCTATGATATAGAGTCTTGATGAGGGAATTCTTCTGGGATGGATGGTGGTGGGAATCCGGTTTTAGATAAGCATCCGTGTGGGTGGCTTTCCTGTAGACAGAGTGGCTCATTGAACCATCAGGTCTCCTTTTGATTAGGACATCCAAAAAGGGTAGCTTGCCATCATTTTCGACTTCCATGGTGAATCTGATGGCTGGGTGTATGGAATTGATGTGGTCGAGAAATTGGTCTAGAGCAGGTCGGCCATGTGGCCAGATGACAAAAGTGTCGTCTACGTACCTCTTCCATAAGGTCGGGCGTAGAGTGGCAGTCTGGATGGCGTCCGTCTCAAATTTCTCCATGAAGATGTTGGCTACAACCGGAGATAGGGGGGAGCCCATTGGGGTGCCCTCAATTTGCTTGTAGAAGGTTCCATTCCAGGTGAAGTATGTATTGGTTAAGCAGTGTCTCACCAGGGGGGGTACCCCAGCATTCAGTCCTTGATGAACCAAGTCTTCAATGATTGCGATGGTGTCAGGCACAGGCACCTTGGTGAACAAGGAAACCACATCAAAACTGACAAGCAGGTCGTCTGGGGACAGGGCAATCCCCTTGATTGTCGATACCAGGTCAGTAGAGTTTAGTACTGCAGAGGTGGTTTTTCCAGTGAAAGGCCGTAGGATTTCGGACAAAAAACGAGCCAGTTTGTAAGTGGGGGAGTTGATAGTAGAGACAATGGGACGAAGAGGTGTATCTTCTTTATGTATCTTTGGCAAGCCGTACAATCTTGGTGGCCTGGCTGCAGAAGGTTTCAACGATAACTGTTTGGTCTGATCAATTAATGCGGTTGAAGCAGAAATGATGTTGTTGGTTTTGGAGACGAGGCTGTTGGTAGGGTCTCTTTTTATTTTTGTATAGCTGCCATCGTTGAGTAGTTCTTGAATTTTGTTGTTGTATTCTATTTTGTCCATGATGACAGTGGCATTGCCTTTGTCGGCTGAGAGGATGACAATGTCATCCTCTCAGCCGACAAAGGCAATGCCACTGTCATCATGGACAAAATAGAATACAACAACAAAATTCAAGAACTACTCAACGATGGCAGCTATACAAAAATAAAAAGAGACCCTACCAACAGCCTCGTCTCCAAAACCAACAACATCATTTCTGCTTCAACCGCATTAATTGATCAGACCAAACAGTTATCGTTGAAACCTTCTGCAGCCAGGCCACCAAGATTGTACGGCTTGCCAAAGATACATAAAGAAGATACACCTCTTCGTCCCATTGTCTCTACTATCAACTCCCCCACTTACAAACTGGCTCGTTTTTTGTCCGAAATCCTACGGCCTTTCACTGGAAAAACCACCTCTGCAGTACTAAACTCTACTGACCTGGTATCGACAATCAAGGGGATTGCCCTGTCCCCAGACGACCTGCTTGTCAGTTTTGATGTGGTTTCCTTGTTCACCAAGGTGCCTGTGCCTGACACCATCGCAATCATTGAAGACTTGGTTCATCAAGGACTGAATGCTGGGGTACCCCCCCTGGTGAGACACTGCTTAACCAATACATACTTCACCTGGAATGGAACCTTCTACAAGCAAATTGAGGGCACCCCAATGGGCTCCCCCCTATCTCCGGTTGTAGCCAACATCTTCATGGAGAAATTTGAGACGGACGCCATCCAGACTGCCACTCTACGCCCGACCTTATGGAAGAGGTACGTAGACGACACTTTTGTCATCTGGCCACATGGCCGACCTGCTCTAGACCAATTTCTCGACCACATCAATTCCATACACCCAGCCATCAGATTCACCATGGAAGTCGAAAATGATGGCAAGCTACCCTTTTTGGATGTCCTAATCAAAAGGAGACCTGATGGTTCAATGAGCCACTCTGTCTACAGGAAAGCCACCCACACGGATGCTTATCTAAAACCGGATTCCCACCACCATCCATCCCAGAAGAATTCCCTCATCAAGACTCTATATCATAGAGCCCAATGCATCTCCGACCATGAACACATTTCCAGTGAACTCAAACACGTACGCCAAGCTCTTAAGGCTAATGGTTACTCCGACTACACAATCCGCAAAGCCATCACTCCAACCATCAAGAAGGATCCTGTTGAGGAGCCTTTCAAGACCATCACCTTACCCTACATTGCTGGGGTCACAAAAAAGATCTCCAAAATCCTGATTAAACACAAGATCCAGGTCCGATTCAACACAG